TCCTCCTGACCCTGCCTCCTCCTGACCCTGCCTCCTCCTGACCGCCTCCTCCTGACCGCCTCCTCCTGACCCTGCCTCCTCCTGACCCTGCCTCCTCCTGACCGCCTCCTCCTGACCGCCTCCTCCTGACCGCCTCCTCCTGACCGCCTCCTCCTGACCGCCTCCTCCTGACCCTGCCTCCTCCTGACCCTGTCTCCTCCTGACCGCCTCCTCCTGACCGCCTCCTCCTGACCCTGTCTCCTCCTGACCCTGCCTCCTCCTGACCGCCTCCTCCTGACCGCCTCCTCCTGACCCTGTCTCCTCCTGACCCTGCCTCCTCCTGACCCTGCCTCCTCCTGACCGCCTCCTCCTGACCCTGCCTCCTCCTGACCGCCTCCTCCTGACCCTGCCTCCTCCTGACCCTGCCTCCTCCTGACCCTGCCTCCTCCTGACCGCCTCCTCCTGACCCTGCCTCCTCCTGACCGCCTCCTCCTGACCGCCTCCTCCTGACCCTGCCTCCTCCTGACCCTGTCTCCTCCTGACCGCCTCCTCCTGACCGCCTCCTCCTGACCCTGCCTCCTCCTGACCCTGCCTCCTCCTGACCGCCTCCTCCTGACCCTGCCTCCTCCTGACCCTGCCTCCTCCTGACCCTGCCTCCTCCTGACCGCCTCCTCCTGACCCTGCCTCCTCCTGACCCTGCCTCCTCCTGACCGCCTCCTCCTGACCCTGCCTCCTCCTGACCCTGCCTCCTCCTGACCCTGCCTCCTCCTGACCGCCTCCTCCTGACCCTGCCTCCTCCTGACCGCCTCCTCCTGACCCTGTCTCCTCCTGACCCTGCCTCTGTCATGGCCTCATCAAACCACAGCACTGCAAAAAGGAGTAAATATAAGATAACAAAAGCTGGAATCAAGAGGGTTTTTTCTTGATTCGAGCCCATTCCATCCATCCATCCATTTTCTTCCCTTTAATCCATTTCTGGGTCAGGGGGGTGGCAGTCAAAGATGCCACCCAAGTCTCATAGCACCAGCCCCTCACTGACCCTCTGCAGGTGGTGAGTCCACAGGAGGACGGCTGCTCTGAGTGTGAGCATAGCCTTGATCTTTCAGTGGGGGCTTTGGGCAAAGTGGGGTTAAGTGTCTTGCCCAAGGACACAACGACAGCAGTCATCAGTGGGAGTCAGTGGAGAAGGTGCAGAGGTGGGAACCCACGACCTTCTGGGCTTAAGGCCAATGCTCTACCAACTGAGCTACAGTACTGTCGCCCCACAATTAGAATAGATAAAACATTGCAGCAGCCTTTGAAATAAGACTAAACGTTTTCTTCCATTTACAAATCTTGTTTTAAAGCTGCATTAAAGCTGCACTAACTGACTTTATTTTCGTATTAATTACGAAAATGCTATCCATGTCCATGTAGTGCATTGGGATATACGTCCTTTTGAAGAAAAAGTAGCGCAGATTTGTGCCGGCGTGACATTATATTTTAGATCGAGTTTTGATGAAACAAGGAAGAGAATGTGTTTCGGGTCCAGATTGTGACCAATCACAGCGGACCACTGACCCCCACTTCCTTGAGAAAAGCCCCAGGTCTGTGGTTAGCACCGACAGCTGAGGTAAACAAGCGGCGGAGGCTAACCTGAAACTTCTGTGTCTTTGTTTCCGGTTTCTGCTTACTCAGAGAAACAAACAAAAGAAAGTCTCGTTCTTCCGCACTTCCTGGTTCTATCATTCTATGGTCACGCCACGTTCACATGTGCGATCCATGTTGTGAGACGCCAGCTCCGTAAACAATTCACACTGCAAAAGATGACAGAATTAAAGACAAAAAAATGCTCAAATTTGGCTAAATGTATCTAAATACATCTAAATCTAGGTTTAAATGTTGTATAGATGGATCTTCAGAGTTGTGTGTCTTCAGTGTTGTGTGTGTGTTGTGACTTCAGTGTTGTATAGATGGATCTTCAGAGTTGTGTGTCTTCAGTGTTGTGTGTGTGTTGTGACTTCAGTGTTGTATAGATTGATCTTCAGAGTTGTGTGTCTTCAGTGTTGTGTGTGTGTTGTGACTTCAGTGTTGTATAGATGGATCTTCAGAGTTGTGTGTCTTCAGTGTTGTGTGTGTGTTGTGACTTCAGTTGTTGTGTGTGTTGTGTCTTCAGTTGTTGTGTGTTTTGTGTCTTCAGTGTTGTGTGTGTTGTGACTTCAGCTGTTGTGTGTGTTGTGTCTTCAGTTGTTGTGTGTGTTGTGACTTCAGTGTTGTGTGTGTTGTGACTTCAGTTGTTGTGTGTGTTGTGACTTCAGTTGTTGTGTGTGTTGTGTCTTCAGCTGTTGTGTGTGTTGTGTCTTCAGTTGTTGTGTGTGTTGTGTCTTCAGTTGTTGTGTGTGTTGTGACTTCAGTTGTTGTGTGTGTTGTGTCTTCAGCTGTTGTGTGTGTTGTGTCTTCAGTTGTTGTGTGTGTTGTGTCTTCAGTGTTGTGTGTGTGTTGTGACTTCAGTTGTTGTGTGTGTTGTGTCTTCAGTTGTTGTGAGTTTTGTGTCTTCAGTGTTGTGTGTTTTGTGACTTCAGCTGTTGTGTGTGTTGTGTCTTCAGTTGTTGTGTGTGTTGTGACTTCAGTGTTGTGTGTGTTGTGACTTCAGTTGTTGTGTGTGTTGTGACTTCAGTTGTTGTGTGTGTTGTGTCTTCAGCTGTTGTGTGTGTTGTGTCTTCAGTTGTTGTGTGTGTTGTGTCTTCAGTTGTTGTGTGTGTTGTGACTTCAGTTGTTGTGTGTGTTGTGTCTTCAGCTGTTGTGTGTGTTGTGTCTTCAGTTGTTGTGTGTGTTGTGTCTTCAGTTGTTGTGTGTGTTGTGACTTCAGTTGTTGTGTGTGTTGTGTCTTCAGTTGTTGTGTGTGTTGTGACTTCAGTTGTTGTGTGTGTTGTGTCTTCAGTTGTTGTGTGTGTTGTGTCTTCAGTTGTTGTGTGTGTTGTGTCTTCAGTGTTGTGTGTGTTGTGACTTCAGTTGTTGTGTGTGTTGTGACTTCAGTTGTTGTGTGTGTTGTGTCTTCAGTTGTTGTGTGTGTTGTGACTTCAGTTGTTGTGTGTGTTGTGTCTTCAGTTGTTGTGTGTGTTGTGTCTTCAGTTGTTGTGTGTGTTGTGACTTCAGTTGTTGTGTGTGTTGTGACTTCAGTTGTTGTGTGTGTTGTGTCTTCAGTTGTTGTGTGTGTTGTGTCTTCAGTTGTTGTGTGTGTTGTGTCTTCAGTGTTGTATAGATGGATCTTCAGTGTTGTGTGTTATTACTTCAGTGTTGTGTGTGTTGTGACTTCAGTTGTTGTGTGTTTTGTGTCTTCAGTTGTTGTGTGTGTTGTGTCTTCAGTTGTTGTGTGTGTTGTGTCTTCAGTTGTTGTGTGTGTTGTGTCTTCAGTTGTTGTGTGTGTTGTGTCTTCAGTGTTGTATAGATGGATCTTCAGTGTTGTGTGTCTTCAGTTGTTGTGTGTGTTGTGTCTTCAGTTGTTGTGTGTGTTGTGTCTTCAGTTGTTGTGTGTGTTGTGTCTTCAGTGTTGTATAGATGGATCTTCAGAGTTGTGTGTCTTCAGTTGTTGTGTGTGTTGTGACTTCAGTTGTTGTGTGTGTTGTGACTTCAGTTGTTGTGTGTGTTGTGTCTTCAGTTGTTGTGTGTGTTGTGTCTTCAGTTGTTGTGTGTGTTGTGTCTTCAGTGTTGTATAGATGGATCTTCAGTGTTGTGTGTTATTACTTCAGTGTTGTGTGTGTTGTGACTTCAGTTGTTGTGTGTTTTGTGTCTTCAGTTGTTGTGTGTGTTGTGTCTTCAGTTGTTGTGTGTGTTGTGACTTCAGTTGTTGTGTGTGTTGTGTCTTCAGTTGTTGTGTGTGTTGTGTCTTCAGTTGTTGTGTGTGTTGTGTCTTCAGTTGTTGTGTGTGTTGTGTCTTCAGTGTTGTGTGTGTTGTGACTTCAGTTGTTGTGTGTGTTGTGTCTTCAGTGTTGTGTGTGTTGTGACTTCAGTTGTTGTGTGTGTTGTGTCTTCAGTGTTGTGTGTGTTGTGTCTTCAGTGTTGTGTGTGTTGTGACTTCAGTGTTGTGTGTGTTGTTACTTCAGTGTTGTATAGATTGATCTTCAGAGTTGTGTGTGTTGTGACTTCAGTTGTTGTGTGTGTTGTGACTTCAGTTGTTGTGTGCGTTGTGTCTTCAGTTGTTGTGTGTGTTGTGACTTCAGTGCTGTGTGTGTTGTGTCTTCAGTGTTGTGTGTGTTGTGTCTTCAGTTGTTGTGTGTGTTGTGACTTCAGTTGTTGTGTGTGTTGTGACTTCAGTGTTGTATAGATTGATCTTCAGAGTTGTGTGTGTTGTGTCTTCAGTGTTGTATAGATTGATCTTCAGAGTTGTGTGTGTTGTGTCTTCAGTTGTTGTGTGTGTTGTGTCTTCAGTTGTTGTGTGTGTCGTGACTTCAGTGCTGTGTGTGTTGTGACTTCAGTGTTGTATAGATTGATCTTCAGAGTTGTGTGTGTTGTGTGTGTTTTGACTTCAGTGTTGTATAGATTGATCTTCAGTGTTGTGTGTGTGTTGTGTCTTCAGTTGTCGTGTGTGTTGTGACTTCAGTGTTGTATAGATTGATCTTCAGAGTTGTGTGTGTGTTGTTACTTCAGTGTTGTGTGTGTTGTGACTTCAGTGTTGTATAGATTGATCTTCAGAGTTGTGTGTGTTGTGTTTTCAGTGTTGTGTGTGTTGTGTCTTCAGTGTTGTGTGTGTTGTGTCTTCAGTGTTGTGTGTGTTGTGACTTCAGTTGTTGTGTGTGTTGTGACTTCAGTGTTGTATAGATGGCTCTTCAGAGTTGTGTATGTGTTGTTACTTCAGTGTTGTGTGTGTTGTGACTTCAGTGTTGTATAGATTGATCTTCAGAGTTGTGTGTGTGTTGTGTGTGTTGTTACTTCAGTTGTTGTGTGTGTTGTGACTTCAGTGTTTTATAGATGGCTCTTCAGAGTTGTGTGTGTGTTGTGTGTGTTGTTACTTCAGTGTTGTGTGTGTTGTGTTGTCGCCGCAGATGGACGGCGGCCGCAGTAACAAGCGTTCTCACGGAGAGAGGATCAAGTACAAACTGGTGGCGGTTCCTCACGGGAACGACATCGCTTCTTTGTTTGAGCTGGACCCGACCACGCTGCAGAAGACCGACTCCTTCGTCCCCAGGTCTTCACTGGTTACATCAGACTTCAAAGGCACAACATAAGATCAAAGATTCTTTTATCACAACATAAGATCAGAGATTCTTTTGTCACAACATAAGATCAGAGATTCTTTTATCACAACATAAGATCAGAGATTCTTTTATCACAACATAAGATCAGAGATTCTTTTATCACAACATAAGATCAGAGATTCTTTTATCACAACATAAGATCAGAGATTCTTTTACACAACATAAGATCAGAGATTCTTTTTCACAACATAAGATCAGAGATTCTTTTTAGATCACAACATAAGATCAGAGATTCTTTTTATCACAACATAAGATCAGAGATTCTTTTATCACAACATAAGATCAGAGATTCTTTTATCACAACATAAGATCAGAGAGATAAGATCAGAGATTCTTTTATCACAACATAAGATCAGAGATTCTTTTATCACAACATAAGATCAGAGATTCTTTTATCACAACATAAGATCAGAGATTCTTTTATCACAACATAAGATCAGAGATTCTTTTGTCACAACATAAGATCAGAGATTCTTTTATCACAACATAAGATCAGAGATTCTTTTATCACAACATAAGATCAGAGATTCTTTTATCACAACATAAGATCAGAGATTCTTTTGTCACAACATAAGATCAGAGATTCTTTTATCACAACATAAGATCAGAGATTCTTTTTATCACAACATAAGATCAGAGATTCTTTTGTCACAACATAAGATCAGAGATTCTTTTATCACAACAAGATCAGAGATTCTTTTATCACAACATAAGATCAGAGATTCTTTTATCACAACATAAGATCAGAGATTCTTTTATCACAACATAAGATCAGAGATTCTTTTATCACAACATAAGATCAGAGATTCTTTTATCACAACATAAGATCAGAGATTCTTTTATCACAACATAAGATCAGAGATTCTTTTATCACAACATAAGATCAGAGATTCTTTTATCACAACATAAGATCAGAGATTATTTTATCACAACATAAGATCAGAGATTCTTTTATCACAACATAAGATCAGAGATTCTTTTGTCACAACATAAGATCAGAGATTCTTTTATCACAACATAAGATCAGAGATTCTTTTATCACAACATAAGATCAGAGATTCTTTTATTGGAGAAATATCAGTGTCATTGTTGCACACATCAAACAGACTCCATCACTTTAAGATACTAGACCAGGGCTGTCACGGGCCGATTATAAAACTAGGGGGCAGTATGATCAGTATCAGCAGTATCATCAGTATCATCAGTAGGGTCATCAGTATCATCAGTATCAGCAGTATCATCAGTGGTATCATCAGTATCAGCAGTGTCAGCAGTATCAGCAGTATCATCAGTATCATCAGTAGTATCATAGGTATCAGCAGTATCATCAGTATCATCTACAGTATATCAGCAGTATCAGAGGTATCATCAGTATCAGCAGAATCATCAGTATCAGTATTTGCAGTACCAGCAGTATCATCAGTATCAGCAGTGTCAGCAGTATCAGCAGTATCAGTAGTATCATCAGTATCAGCAGTATCATCAGTATCAGCAGTGTCAGCAGTATCAGCAGTATCATCAGTATCAGCAGTGTCAGCAGTATCAGCAGTATCAGTAGTATCAGCAGTATCAGTAGTATCAGCAGTATCAGTAGTATCAGCAGTATCAGCAGTATCATCAGTATCAGTAGTATCATCAGTATCAGCAGTATCAGAAGTATCAGCAGTATATTCAGTATCAGCAGTATCAGAAGTATCAGCAGTATCATCAGTATCAGCAGTATCATCAGTATCAGCAGTATCAGCAGTATCATCAGTATCAGCAGTATCATCAGTATCAGAGGTATCATCAGTATCAGCAGTGTCAGCAGTATCAGTAGTATCATCAGTATCAGCAGTATCAGCAGTATCATCAGTGTCAGCAGTATCATCAGAATCACCAGTGTCAGCAGTGTCAGCAGTATCAGCAGTATGAGCAGTATCATCAGTATCAGCAGTGTCATCAGTATCATCAGTATCATCATAGGTATCAGCAGTTTCATCAGTATCATCTACAGTATATCAGCAGTATCAGAGGTATCATCAGTATCAGCAGAATCATCAGTATCAGTATTTGCAGTATCAGCAGTATCAGAGGTATCAGCAGTATCAGCAGAATCATCAGTATCAGTATTTGCAGTACCAGCAGTATCATCAGTATCAGCAGTGTCAGCAGTATCATCAGTATCAGCAGTATCAGCAGTATCAGTAGTATCAGCAGTATCAGCAGTATCAGCAGTATCAGCAGTGTCAGCAGTATCATCAGTATCAGCAGTATCATCAGTATCAGCAGTATCAGCAGTATCATCAGAATCACCAGTATCAGCAGTATCAGCAGTATCATCAGTATCATCAGTATCAGCAGTGTCAGCAGTATCAGCAGAATCATCAGTATCAGCAGTATCATCAGTATCATCAGTATCATCATAGGTATCAGCAGTATCAGTAGTATCATCAGTATCAGCAGTGTCAGCAGTATCAGCAGTGTCAGCAGTATCATCAGTATCAGCAGTATCAGCAGTATCATCAGTATCAGAGGTATCATCAGTATCATCAGTATCATCAGTATCAGCAGTATCATCAGTATCATCAGTATCATCAGTATCAGCAGTATCAGTAGTATCAGAGGTATCATCAGTATCAGCAGTATCAGCAGAATCATCAGTATCAGTATTTGTAGTACCAGCAGTGCCAGCAGTATCAGTAGTATCATCAGTATCAGCAGTATCAGAAGTATCAGCAGTATATTCAGTATCAGCAGTATCAGCAGTATCATCTATGTCAGCAGTATCATAGGTATCAGCAGTATCATCAGTATCATCTACAGTATATCAGCAGTATCAGAGGTATCATCAGTATCAGTATTTGCAGTATCAGCAGTATCAGTAGGATCAGCAGTAAAGTGACTAGTGAATGGCAGAAGTATCAGATGGATGTGTAATAATGCAGTAATAAAAACAACAGGTGAAGTGACTAGTGCATTATTATCAGTGACTCAGCAGTTCTCGTTGTACAGTCTGACAGCAGGGAGGAAGGGCCTGTGTAACCTCTCCTTCACACAGAGAGGGTGGATAAGTCTGTCACTGAAGCTACTCTCCAGAGCAGACAGAGTGTCCTGCAGGGGGCGACAGTCACGGTCCATGCATTTTTTAAACTCATATTTGTTTATTTTGTTGACCATAAAGTTTAACACTGAAGTATTCTTATGGACAATGGACATGGCCGTAATATTTATGATATTTATGTTAAAATTCATGAGAGAAAGCAGGGGATCCTTCATGGTGTCTGTCTGACCACCTGGTTTACACACCTGGTTTACACACTGTCCTGTACCTGTGATGTGTTTTATTAACAAAAACATTGATAACTTGTTCCTAATAGAAATTCGTACGTGCGCCTGAGACACTTGTGCACAAACACGTGGATTCAGAGCACCAACGTTCCCATTGACATCGACGAGGAGCGGCCAATCAGATTAATGGTAACAAATATTCATACTTTTACTTTTACTTTTTACTGTATGATATGACTTGTTATTTCAGTTGGGGACATGTCCGACCAAAGAGGACAAAGAGGCCTTCGCCATCGTGTCCGTTCCTGTGATGGAGATTCGAGACTTGGACTTCGCCAACGACGCCTCGGCCATGTTGAGTGCCGTGGTCGAGCAGTTCAACCAGGGCTTCATCAGCCCCAACGACAGGAGGTGAGGAGGCGGGCAGGATGCGGCAGGGTGTGGAGGAGGCAGGGGTCAGGAGGAGGCAGGGTCAGGAGGAGGCAGGGGTCAGGAGGAGGCAGGGGTCAGGAGGAGGCAGGGTCAGGAGGAGGCAGGGTCAGGGTCAGGAGGAGGTAGGGGTCAGGAGGAGGCAGGGTCAGGAGGAGGTAGGGGTCAAGAGGAGTCAGGGTCAGGAGGCGGCAGGGGTCAGGAGGAGGTAGGGGTCAAGAGGAGTCAGGATCAGGGTCAGGAGGCAGCAGACTGGCCTCCTGCTGGGACTCTGAGGAGCACAGGGACTGGCCTCCTGCTGGGACTCTCAGGAGCACAGGGACTGGACTCCTGCTGGGACTCTGAGGAGCACAGGGACTGGCCTCCTGCTGGGACTCTGAGGAGCACAGGGACTGGACTCCTGTTAGTGCCCAGAGTCAGAACTAAACATGGGGAGGCTGCTTTTCAGATTCATGCTGCTAAAATCTGGAACAGTCTTCCTGAAGATGTGAGACAGGCCTCCTCTCTGACAATGTTTAAAACCAGGTTAAAGACAGTTCTGTTTAGGGACAACTGAGGGATTTTATATTATTAGCTTTCTTTTTAATGTTCTGTGATTATTTATGATTTTAATGCTTTCTGATTTTGTTCAGCACTTTGAGTTGCCGTGTGTATGACTCGTGCTATACATAAAAACCCGCCTTTTCTTGTGGTTCTATCAGGTTTGCGGTGAAGCTTTTGGAGGACCTTGTCTTCTTTGTGGCTGACGTTCTGAACAGCGGACAGCCGGTTCTGGATGTGCTCATGACCAAACCGAACCGAGAGCGGCAGAAGCTGATGAGAGAGCAGAACATCCTCAAACAGGTTCCTACCCTCCTCCAACAAACTGACTACAATCCTGTTTTTATTTACTTACACCCAACTCCTTTCTCTAGGTCTTTGGACTCTTAAAGGCCCCGTTTAAAGACCGGGGCGAAGGGGAGGGTCCTCTGCTGCGTCTGGAGGAACTATGTGACCAGAAGAACGTGCCGTATCAGTACATGCTCCGACTGTGCTACCGAGTCCTCAGACACTCACAGGACGACTACCGCAAGAACCAGGTCTGTCCCCGGTCCTAAAACAGTCTAAACTCAGGCCTGGGGGCTAATTGCGGCCCTCAGTGTCATTGTATATGGCCCTCTGCCTCGCTAACCTAGCCTGGTTGTACCACACCATAGTACCACACACTGGGTTTGCTCCATTGACTCCGTTAACAGGTGGGAGGGGCAGATTGAAACCATTGGATCTGAGTTTACTGTGATGTATGTAATGAGCCCGAGTGAGTCGTTAGCATTTAGCAGTTCGCCTAGCTTTAGCCATCTCCTTTGCCGCTAACGGAGCCCGTGGGGAGTAGAGCCACAATCTTTGCAGCGATTACATTTGCTAAACATTCCTCTTGCTCCGGCTTCAGTTTCTTGATAGAACCAGACCAGACTATTTTACTATCGCATTCTTCGCCAAACTACAACCTGCCCGTTCAACACAAACTCTAGTCGTCAGCCACAAATAACTACAACACCCGCCTTCCGCGCTCTCTGATTGGTCAGATGGAATTCAACAGATTGTAATCTCAAACACAGGGACCGGACCCAGACGTTACATGCAGGAGATGATGATCGAGCCGAGTGATGGATAAGTCCAGGCTATCGCTAACACAAAGTATTCTGTGAGATCATAAACACAAGTTCACTGTGTCATCCATCCAACTTCAGCTCAGCCCATAAAGACCTTGTTCTAAAGCCCAGAACGTACTGAGGTGGTTTTTGATTGTGTCACTTCTGTTATTGATGCTAATGTGGCTGTAGATGGTAAACATGTGTCATTCAGCCAACTTCAGCTCTGTTATACATCATCATAAAGCTCAGTACAGCCCGATGCCAGTCCAGACAGTTTTTCAGTCCGTAATGTGGGCCCTGGACTAGTCTGGTGAACTAAACCGGTCCTCTTACTGAAAAGTTTGGACACCTCTGGTCTAATCCATGATCCAAGCCAAGTCTTAACCCGGATCTGTTTCTGACCCCTCTGCAGGAGCACATTGCAAAGCAGTTTGGAGTGATGCAGAGTCAGATCGGATACGACATTTTAGCAGAAGACACCATCACGGCGCTGCTGCACAACAACAGAAAACTCCTGGAGAAGCACATCACCAAGACTGAGGTGGAGACCTTTGTCAGTCTGGTCCGAAGGAACCGAGAGCCCAGGTGAGAAAGACGAGTTTAGCTTAACACTAAAAGACCCATGGAGGTGCTATTTGGCACTTCTACCTAAAGAGCCCACCACGGTGCCAAAAGACTCCAAGGATTTTAGCTAACAAACTAGATCACCTGTGAACGGCCAACTTTGTTCTGTAAATAAGGCCATTATCACAGGCTTTGTCTTCTTCAGGAGAGTGGGAGGATCTGCTTAGTTAAAATGAGTTAAATCTAGTGTCATGCTGACTTTAGTTAAAAAATAATAATGATAATAATAAAGTTAATTAAAAGAAAACAAACGAGCAACGCAATTTAATGTTTAAATTTACATTACATTAAAATAAATATGCTACTTAGTTTCTCTCTGTGTCATTCTTCACATCTGCACAACAGTTTGCGCATTTCTCAGAACAATTAGTGCAAACTGCAAAACCTCGTGGAAAACCTGCAAAAGTCACTTTTGCTGTCAACTGTACACTGTACAGCTGAAAACTACAGTTACACACGACTGTATTTAGTGAGAGTAAAAGACACATTTGTATGTACTGTTTGTGTGTGTGTGTATTTACAGTATGTGTGTGTATGTGTATTTACAGTATGTGTGTGTGTGTGTATTTACAGTATGTGTGTGTGTGTGTATTTACAGTATGTGTGTGTGTGTGTGTATTTACAGTATGTGTGTGTGTGTGTGTATTTACAGTATGTGTGTGTGTGTGTGTGTGTGTGTGTATTTACAGTATGTGTGTGTATGTGTGTATTTACAGTATGTGTGTGTTTGCAGTATGTGTGTGTATGTATTTACAGTATGTGTGTATATGTGTGTATTTACAGTATGTGTGTATATGTGTGTATTTACAGTATGTGTGTATATGTGTGTATTTACAGTATGTGTGTATTTACAGTATGTGTGTGTGTGTGTATTTACAGTATGTGTGTGTGTATTTACAGTATATGTGTGTACTGTATGTCTTACAGTATTTATGTAGAACAAACATATAGACTATAATTATGGTAGAACTGTGACAAATGTAAACAATAAAACACACAAACCTCGTCATGAGTGAAGCTGAAACTCACCTGAGAGAAACTGTTCAATTTAGGAAAGATTTTCAGGAAATAAAAAGATAAAGGAATGTATGAAATTAGTTTGAGAGATTTTGGTTTTGAACTAGTTACAACAGTTCAAAAAAGTTTTGAACTAACTACAACAATTTTGTATGTTTGTAAACTAAGCCTCAGTGCCAAGCCTGACTCCACCCACATGAACAGCCTGACTCCACCCACATGAACAGCCTGACTCCGCCCACATGAACAGCCTGACTCCGCCCACATGAACAGCCTGACTCCACCCACATGAACAGCCTGACTCCGCTCACATGAACAGCCTGACTCCGCCCACATGAACAGCCTGACTCCGCCCATATGAACAGCCTGACTCCACCCACATGAACAGCCTGACTCCGCCCACATGAACAGCCTGACTCCACCCACATGAACAGCCTGACTCCGCTCACATGAACAGCCTGACTCCGCCCACATGAACAGCCTGACTCCACCCACATGAACAGCCTGACTCCGCACACATGAACAGCCTGACTCCGCCCATATGAACAGCCTGACTCCGCTCACATGAACAGCCTGACTCCGCCCACATGAACAGCCTGACTCCGCTCACATGAACAGCCTGACTCCGCCCACATGAACAGCCTGACTCCGCCCACATGAACAGCCTGACTCCGCCCACATGAACAGCCTGACTCTACCCACATGAACAGCCTGACTCCATCCGCATGAACAGCCTGACTCCGCCCACATGAACAGCCTGACTCCGCCCACATGAACAGCCTGACTCCGCTCACATGAACAGCCTGACTCCGCCCGCATGAAACAGCCTGACTCCGCCCACATGAACAGCCTGACTCCGCTCACATGAACAGCCTGCCTGACTCTACCCACATGAACAGCCTGACTCCGCACACATGAACAGCCTGACTCCGCCCACATGAACAGCCTGACTCCGCACACATGAACAGCCTGACTCCGCCCACATGAACAGCCTGACTCCGCCCACATGAACAGCCTGACTCCGCCCACATGAACAGCCTGACTCCGCCCACATGAACAGACTGACTCCGCCCACATGAACAGCGTGACTCCGCCCACATGAACAGACTAACTCCGCCCACATGAACAGACTGACTCCGCCCACATGGACAGCCTGACTCCGCTCACATGAACAGCCTGTCTCCGCCCACATGAACAGCTTGACTCCGCCCACATGAACAGCCTGACTCCGCCCACATGAACAGGCTGACTCCGCTCACATGAACAGCCTGACTCCGCTCACATGAACAGCCTGACTCCGCCCACATGAACAGCCTGACTCCGCTCACATGAACAGCCTGACTCCGCCCACATGAACAGCCTGACTCCGCCCACATGAACAGGCTGACTCCGCTCACATGAACAGCCTGACTCCGCCCACATGAACAGCCTGACTCCGCCCACATGAACAGCCTGACTCCGCTCACATGAACAGCCTGACTCCACCCGCATGAACAGCCTGACTCCGCTCACATGAACAGCCTGACTCCGCCCACATGAGCAGCCTGACTCCGCCCACATGAACAGCCTGACTCCGCCCACATGAGCAGCCTGACTCCGCCCACATGAACAGCCTGACTCCGCTCACATGAACAGCCTGACTCTACCCACATGAACAGCCTGACTCCGCACACATGAACAGCCTGACTCCACCCACATGAACAGCCTGACTCCGCCCACATGAACAGCCTGAGTCCACCCACATGAACAGCCTGACTCCACCCACATGAACAGCCTGACTCCGCCCACATGAACAGCCTGCCTGACTCTACCCACATGAACAGCCTGACTCCGCCCACATGAACAGCCTGACTGCGCAGTTCATGGGTTAAAAAAAAGTTGATTTAGTGTTTAGTTGTTTAATAAATACCATTTGTTTGTTATAATTCTGTATATTTCGTCGCAGGTTTCTGGATTACCTGTCGGACTTATGTGTGTCGATCAATGTGGCCATCCCAGTGACCCAGGAGCTCATCTGTAAATGTGTTCTGGACCCAAAGAACCAAGATATCCTCATCAAGACTGAGTGAGCTTCTCTTAACTACAGAAGTTGGTTTGGTTAAAGGTATAAAAGGAGGATTTTCCACTTCTGGGTGGATCGTCAAGACTATTGGTCCTCCAAGTTGTCAGTCATTCTGGTGATACGTGCTCGTCAAATAAGATAGATAGATACTTTATTGATCCCTGCAGGAGAAATGCAGGTGTCCAGTAGCAGCAGAAACATCCATCCAAACAAACAAAACAATTAAATATATCATTCTAAAAGTATCTAACAATAGTAATAATAACATCAGTCCTTCAGGTCTCAGCAGCAGAGGTGGATCCTGGTTCAGACCATTTTCTCTGCTCTGGTCCAAAGTAAAATGCTAAATGCTTCAAAAAGTTAGCATTCCTCCAGTGGATTTTCACCTGATCCACTTGGTTTGGACCATGAATCCTCTCTGCTCTGGTCTGGACCAGTGTAAAACCATGAATCCTCTCTGCTCTGGTCTGGACCAGTGTAAAACCATGAATCCTCTCTGCTCTGGTCTGGACCAGTGTAAAACCATGAATCCTCTCTGCTCTGGTCTGGACCAGTGTAAAACTATGAATCCTCTCTGCTCTGGTCTGGACCAGTGTAAAACCATGAATCCTCTCTGCTCTGGTCTGGACCAGTGTAAAACCATGAATCCTCTCTGCTCTGGTCTGGACCAGTGTAAAACCATGAATCCTCTCTGCTCTGGTCTGGACCAGTGTAAAACCATGAATCCTCTCTGCTCTGGTCTGGACCAGTGTAAAACCATGAATCCTCTCTGCTCTGGTCTGGACCAGTGTAAAACCATTAACAGTGTACTGCAGCAACATCTCAGGCAGAAAATAAATCAAGAAAAATAACAATTAAAACACAAAACAACAGTTTCAGAGACACTTTAAAACTAAAGTGAACTAAATAAGACCAGAGAGTTTTGTTTAAACAGTGGAGAGAGCGGCTCATTTCTAAAATTTGGAAAAATCCTCCTTTATCCCTTTAACAGAACGTCCTTTTTATAAAATATATAGTCTGATAAACAGTAGATTGTCAGTTAATGTTTGTTTCTGTCATTCAAAGACGGCGGGTCCCGAAGGAGACGCACCCTGGTGGTGGAACAGGGGAGTACATGGACGACTTTGGAGATGAAGATGAGGTACTCTTTAATGGGACTGATCTCGTGAAGAATGTGGTCTTGTTGCGTTTGTTGTTTATTCTGAGTTTTGTGCAGGTTTGGTTAATGTGGATTGATAAATCGAATGAACGGCAAGAGAAGAGCATCAGACAGTTAGCTCAGGAGGCGCGACAGGGAAACGCTCACGACGACAACGTGCTAACCTACTACAGGTAAAAACATGGGAGCGGCTAAAGTAGCAATGTGTAAGAGTTTAATGTCCTGTCATCATTAAAGGGCCCTAATCTGTCATCATTAAAGGGCTTAATCTGTCATCATTAAAGGGCCCTAATCTGTCATCATTAAAGGGCCGTAATCTGTCATCATTAAAGGGCTTAATCTGTCATCATTAAAGGGTCCTAATCTTTCATCATTAAAGGGCTTAATCTGTCATCATTAAAGGGCCCTAATCTGTCATCATTAAAGGGCCGTAATCTGTCATCATTAAAGGGCCGTAATCTGTCATAATTAAAGGGCTTAATCTGTCATAATTAAAGGGCCCTAATCTGTCATAATTATGGGTACTAATCTGTCATTATTAAAGGGCCCTAATCTTTCATCATTAAAGGGCCCTAATCTGTCATCCTTACAGGGCCCTAATCTGTTATCATTAAAGGGCTTAATCTGTCATCATTAAAGGGCTTAATCTGTCATCATTAAAGGGCCCTAATCTGTCATCATTAAGGGCCCTAATCTGTCATAATTAAAGGGCTTAATCTGTCATCATTAAAGGGCCCTAATCTGTCATCATTAAAGGGCCCTAATCTGTCATCATTAAAGGGCCCTAATCTGTCATCATTAAGGGCCCTAATCTGTCATCATTAAGGGCCCTAATCTGTCATCATTAAAGGGCCCTAATTTGTCATCATTAAAGGGCCCTAATCTGTCATCATTAAAGGGCTTAATCTGTCATCATTAAAGGGCCCTAATCTTTCATAATTAAAGGGCCCTAATCTGTCATCATTAAAGGCCCCTAATCTGTCATCATTAAAGGGCCCTAATCTGTCATCATTAAGGGCCCTAATCTGTCATAATTAAAGGGCCCTAATCTGTCATCATTAAAGGGCCCTAATCTGTCATCATGAGAGGCCCTAATCTGTCATCATTAAAGGCCCCTAATCTGTCATCATTAAAGGGCCCTAATCTGTCATCATTAAGGGCCCTAATCTGTCATAATTAAAGGGCCCTAATCTGTCATCATTAAAGGGCCCTAATCTGTCATCATTAAGGGCCCTAATCTGTCATCATTAAGGGCCCTAATCTGTCATCATTAAAGGGCCCTAATTTGTCATCATTAAAGGGCCCTAATCTGTCATCATTAAAGGGCTTAATCTGTCATCATTAAAGGGCCCTAATCTTTCATAATTAAAGGGCCCTAATCTGTCATCATTAAAGGCCCCTAATCTGTCATCATTAAAGGGCCCTAATCTGTCATCATTAAGGGCCCTAATCTGTCATAATTAAAGGGCCCTAATCTGTCATCATTAAAGGGCCCTAATCTGTCATCATGAGAGGCCCTAATCTGTCATCATTAAAGGCCCCTAATCTGTCATCATTAAGGGCCCTAATCTGTCATAATTAAAGGGCCCTAATCTGTCATCATTAAAGGGCCCTAATCTGTCATCATGAGAGGCCCTAATCTGTCATCATTAAAGGGCCCTAATCTGTCAAATACTTCTTTAACTGATAACAGTAGTTCAGAGATATTTTAACTTCAAAATTATTTTTACTGCCTCTAAATCTTGTTTTCATTTCGATGTCCCGCCCTCCACCGTGAACCAATCAGAAAGTCTGTGATCCGGGCGCCAGAACTACCAGTGAGCTAATCTCACTGGTAAAGTACCATGTGGCGCAGAACTAATTAGGCTACAACTACAACTAACTACAACCAACGCTAGCAATGGGTTTGTTCACACTAAAGGTACAAAGTGTGAAAAAAGGCTAAAAATGTGATTTGAATAATTAGAGGATATATTATGTTTTTAATGTTTCCAAATCCCTGCTCCGTCCATTTGTAGAACCAGAAGAAAACAGTTTTATACATCAGTCAAATTTCAGATCCACATTTGATTCATAGATTCCTTTTTTAGTAGAGACAAAGTGATACTTTCATAGAAAACCAATTAAATGTGAAACCAGACCTTAATTAGAACGTTTTTTTCTCAAGTTTTCAGATTCATTTATTTGCCATTTGCAGTAAAACCACATTGGAAAAACTGTGCAAGACTACCCCGGTGTGCACCAGGGTGCATCTTTCAGGGTTATTTAAATTTTTATTGATAATTTTGTCCATGAATGATTGTCACTGAATGATCCAATCAGAGCCTGATCTGCGTTTTAACATTTCACCAAACATTTATTTGACAATTTTTCCTTTTGATTTCTCCACACTATTTCTTTAATCTGTCTGTGTTTGATCTTTTTCCCAATCTGTGAAAGTCATTTTTGTTTTTGAGATATAACCTTTAAAGTCCAGATAAATTCATTGAAATTATACTGTAAACACACCCATATACTGTATGTGAAACTGCCCAGAACTAAAACCAAGACATTTTACCAAGGTTTGAGCCTACAGGCTTCTGTTTCACACTTCCTATGATAGTGATGAGCAGAAGAAGCCCTGTAACACACCGAGGCTTTCTGCTGTAAAACACTGACATCTAGTGGACAAATTAAATCATTGCAGCTTCTGAATACTTGAGTCCACGGCAAATAATGACATTTTCACCATGAAACATAAATGGTAAATAACATAATAAGAATTATCCCGAAACATGGATCTCCGTTTTCCACTTGCAGATGACGATAAAACCATATTTCTTCAGCGTATCAGCAGATTGTGAACATCAAAGCCTTAGGAACGTAGCAAGTTTTGTGTCAGATGAAAAGTTTTTGTACGCCTTGAATTGTGTCCATTTTTCAAAGACCCTGATAGAAATCCTGCTTTTATTCCATGTTTTGTCGTTAATGATTTGAGAATCATAACGAGACCTTTTTTTGTTCTGCGCCACATGGTACTTTACCAGACTTTCTGATTGGTGAAACTGTGGAGGGCGGGACATCGAAATGAAAACAATAACAAGATTTAGAGGCTGGAAAAGTAATTTAGAAATTCAAATATCTCTGAACTACTGTTTGTATTAGAAGTATTGGAAAAGAAGTATTGGAAAAGAGCAGGTTTTATTATGACAGATTAGGGCCCTATAATGATGACAGTTTAGGGCCCTTTAATGATCACAGATTAGGGCCCTTTAATGATGACAGATTAGGGCCCTTTAATGATGAAAGATTAGGGCCCTTTAATGATGACTAGACATGAAAATCTTACATACTTTAAAGCCCATACTCATAGCCCATACTTTGGGCTACTTAACTTTCAAAGCTGTTTCAGACAGAAATGTGAAAAGCGCACCCTCTCTCAGCCAATCAGCTCTCAGCCCAAGAATCCTACTGTGACTAAAACATTGAATATGTATTTGACCCAGATACCAGTTGAAGCTGTTCGCCCGCATGTGTCTGGACCGGCAGTACTTGGCCATCCATGAGATCTCCAAACAGCTGGATGTGGACCTCATCTTTCTGTGCATCATGGATGAGACGCTGCCCTTCGACCTGCGAGCGTCCTTCTGCAGACTCATGCTTCACGCTCACGTGGACCGAGAGCCTCAGGAGCTGGTCACTCCCGTCAAGTTTGCACGACTGTGGACGGAGATTCCCACCGCAATCTCCATCAAAGAGTAAGAGCTTTTACTGCACTAAGGTCTGGATTGACTCCGTTTACAGGTGGGAGGGGTTAACTCCTTTTGCAGATTGAGCCCGTGGGGAGTAGAGCCACAACATATTTGCTTCAATAACATTTACTAAACATTCCTCTTGCTCCGGCTTCAGTTTCTTGATATTTGGATTGAACCAGAACAGATTATTTTAGTATCGCATTCTCAGACAAAACTACAACCAGCAAATTCAGCACAAACTCTTGACGTCACCGACACCGACCTACAACACCCAAAAATGATCATGGACCAGAGTTTTCAGATGGATAAGACCAGGCTAAGTATGAAGTGTAAAGAAGGATTTTCGCTTGTTATGCTTGTAATATATAGTTTTTCCAAATTAAAAATTACCAGCTGCAAACACAGCCATGCAATTTTAAAGAAAGTCATTTAACGTGCCAAAGCAAAATTATTTGCGGACTGCCCTGCCCGACCCGCCTGGAAGTGCTTCGGTCCTGCACCGGACCTGTCCATGTTCTGTAGCTTAGGTCCAGGATCTACAGCCTCAGTCCTCGTTCTACAGTCTGAGTCCTGGATCTACAGCCTCAGTCCTCGTTCTACAGTCTGAGTCCTGGATCTACAGCCTCAGTCCTCGTTCTACAGTCTGAGTCCTGGATCTATAGCCTCAGTCCTCGTTCTACAGTCTGAGTCCTGGATCTATAGCCTCAGTCCTTGTTCTACAGTCTGAGTCCTGGATCTATAGCCTCAGTCCTCGTTCTACAGTCTGAGTCCTGGATCTATAGCCTCAGTCCTTGTTCTACAGTCTGAGTCCTGGATCTACAGCCTCAGTCCTCGTTCTACAGTCTGAGTCCTGGATCTACAGCCTCAGTCCTCGTTCTACAGTCTGAGTCCTGGATCTACAGCCTCAGTCCTCGTTCTACAGTCTGAGTCCTGGGTCTACAGCCTCAGTCCTCGTTCTACAGTCTGAGTCCTGGATCTACAGCCTCAGTCCTCGTTGTACAGTCTGAGTCCTGGATCTACAGCCTCAGTCCTCGTTCTACAGTCTGAGTCCTGGATCTACAGCCTCAGTCCTCGTTCTACAGTCTGAGTCCTGGATCTACAGCCTCAGTTCTCGTTCTACAGTCTGAGTCCTGGATCTACAGCCTCAGTCCTCGTTCTACAGTCTGAGAGTCCTGGATCTATAGCCTCAGTCCTTGTTCTACAGTCTGAGTCCTGGATCTACAGCCTCAGTCCTCGTTCTACAGTCTGAGTCCTGGATCTACAGCCTCAGTCCTCGTTCTACAGTCTGAGTCCTGGATCTACAGCCTCAGTCCTCGTTCTACAGTCTGAGTCCTGGATCTACAGCCTCAGTCCTCGTTCTACAGTCTGAGTCCTGGATCTACAGCCTCAGTCCTCGTTCTACAGTCTGAGTCCTGGATCTATAGCCTCAGTCCTTGTTCTACAGTCTGAGTCCTGGATCTACAGCCTCAGTCCTCGTTCTACAGTCTGAGTCCTGGATCCATAGCCTCAGTCCTTGTTCTACAGTCTGAGTCCTGGATCTACAGCCTCAGTCCTTGTTCTACAGTCTGACTCCTGGATCTACTGCCTCAGTCCTCGTTCTACAGTCTGAGTCCTGGATCTACAGCCTCAGTCCTCGTTCTACAGTCTGAGTCCTGGTTCTACAGCCTCAGTCCTCGTTCTACAGTCTGAGTCCTGGATCTACAGCCTCAGTCCTCGTTCTACAGTCTGAGTCCTGGATCTACAGCCTCAGTCCTCGTTCTACAGTCTGAGTCCTGGATCTACAGCCTCAGTCCTCGTTCTACAGTCTGAGTCCTGGATCTACAGCCTCAGTCCTCGTTCTACAGTCTGAGTCCTGGATCTACAGCCTCAGTCCTCGTTCTACAGTCTGAGTCCTGGATCTACAGCCTCAGTCCTCGTTCTACAGTCTGAGTCCTGGCTCTACAGCCTCAGTTCTCGTTCTACAGTCTGAGTCCTGGATCTACAGCCTCAGTCCTCGTTCTACAGTCTGAAAGTCCTGGATCTATAGCCTCAGTCCTTGTTCTACAGTCTGAGTCCTGGATCTACAGCCTCAGTCCTCGTTCTACAGTCTGAGTCCTGGATCTATAGCCTCAGTCCTCGTTCTACAGTCTGAGTCCTGGATCCATAGCCTCAGTCCTTGTTCTACAGTCTGAGTCCTGGATCTACAACCTCAGTCCTCGTTCTACAGTCTGAGTCCTGGATCTACAGCCTCAGTCCTCGTTCTACAGTCTGAGTCCTGGATCTATAGCCTCAGTCCTTGTTCTACAGTCTGAGTCCTGGATCCATAGCCTCAGTCCTTGTTCTACAGTCTGAGTCCTGGATCTACAGCCTCAGTCCTCGTTCTACAGTCTGAGTCCTGGATCTACAGCCTCAGTCCTCGTTCTACAGTCTGAGTCCTGGATCTATAGCCTCAGTCCTTGTTCTACAGTCTGAGTCCTGGATCCATAGCCTCAGTCCTTGTTCTACAGTCTGAGTCCTGGATCTACAGCCTCAGTCCTCGTTCTACAGTCTGAGTCCTGGATCTACAGATCCTCTGATGCAAGAGTCTGTTACAGTTAGTGTCAAGAAGCACTGTGATGATCCAGGACACTTTAACATTCTACATGGACCATCAACGTTCAGTGGTTTCTCCCTATGGTCCAATACCATGTGGTCTCTCCCTATGGTCCAATACCATGTGGTCTCTCCCTATGGTCCAATACATATGTGTATTTTCTGCTTTGGTGATTTAAATAGTTTTATTAAATCCTCTGAGATAACTATTGTTGTGAATTAGGGCACATTGTGTGAATTGTATTGTAAATTATAAGAAAGAAACGCTTTAATGTCATATACTGTAGGACTGAAATCGCTTTTGATGAAGGACATTGTTGTACGTGGTTTTAAGCCCAAAACATCAACCAAACACTTTATGTCCCCTTTAACTAAAACATTATGTGATTATTAATGAAAGGATTCACTCTATTCATTCCAATCTCTGTGTGTGTTTTGTTAGTTACGACTCAAATATGGACGACAGCCGAGACAACAAGAAGAATCGATTCTCCAACACCATGGATTTTATGGTGGAATATCTCAACAATGTCCTGAACGACGATCTGCCGTTCCACAACGAGGAGAAGAACAAACTCACATACGAGGTTCTGCCGCTGACGTCACAGAGTTATTAGCAAAAACACACAATGACATAACGAATTCATGTTGTTCCAGGTGGTGAGTTTGGCTCGACACTTGATCTACTTCGGATTCTACAGTTTCTTTGAGCTTTTACGATTGACCAGGACTTTATTAGGAATTATTGACTGTCGACCGAACCCTGCGCACGGTGGACCCATGTTTCACGAGGAGTCTGCAGGTAACACATACTGAGTACTGTCAAGTCATCATTAAAGGGCCTTAATCTGTCATCATTAAAGGGCACTAATCTGTCATCATTAAAGGGCCTTAATCTGTCATCATTAAAGGGCCCTAATCTGTCATCAATCAATCAATCAATCAAAGTTTATTTGTAGAGCGCCTTTCATACACAGGGCAACACAAAGCGCTTCACAGTCCACATCACAAATCATCACATAAAACAAACACCAGAATCACAATTAAAACATTAAAATCACACAAAAGATTAAAACACAATTAAAACATTAAAATCACACAAAAGAATAAAACCATTAAAACTTTCAAAATTACACAAGAAATTTAAAAAAATAAATAAATGACAGCAGTGCATTAAAAATGGAGATAAAATCCTTCAGTTGTATGCACAGGCAAACAGAACAGTCTTTAACCTGGATTTGAACATTGACAGAGTAGACGCCTCCCTCACACATTTTCAGGGAGATTGTTCCAGATCTTAGCTGCATGGATCTGAAACGCAGCCTCCCCATGTTTGGTTCTCACTCTGGGCACCAGCAGGAGGCCAGTCCCTGTGCTCCTCAGAGTCCGGGCTGGTTCATATGACACCAACATGTCACTAATGTATTCTGGTGCAAGGCCATGGAGAGACTTGTACACAAGCAGAGCCGTTTTAAAATCTATTCTTTGAGCCACAGGAAGCCAGTGCAGAGACCTGAGGACCGGACTAATATGGTCATACTTCCTGGTTCCTGTCAGGACTCTAGCTGCTGCATTTTGGATGTACTGCAGCTGCTTACAGGTCTGTTTGGACAGACCTGTAAGCAGGCCATTGCAGTAGTCTAGCCTGCTGGAGACAAATGCATGGACAAGAATCTCCAAGTCTGCCCTGGACACTATATTTCTAACTTTGGCAATGTTCTTCAGATGGTAAAAAGCTGTTGATGTTATTGATTTTATGTGGCTATTGAAATTTAGGTCTGAGTCCAGTATTACCCCCAAATTTCTGACCTTGTCTGAAGGAAGTAGGGAGAGAGACTGAAGTTGACAAATGACGCCCTCTCTTTGTTTCTGGGGACCAAAGACAATGATTTCGGTTTTGTCTGTATTTAGCTGGAGGAAATTATTTTGCATCCAGTCACTGATCTGTTGGATACAGTGAAGGAGCAAATCCAGTGGTCCATGTTCTCCTGCAGTCAGTGAGACATAGATCTGAGTGTCGTCAGCGTAATTGTGGTAGGACACTTTGTTTCTTTGTATTAACTGACCTAACGGCAGCATGTAGAGATTAAATAGGAGAGGTCCCAGGATCGACCCCTGTGGTACACCACAGGTCAGGGCCACATCATCTGAGACGCAGTCTCCAATCTCCACAGAGTACTTCCTATCCTCCAGGTAAGACCTAAACCAGTCTAGGGCTGTGCCAGTGACACCAGCCCAGTCCTCCAGTCTCTGCATGAGGATCTCATGGTCGACAGTGTCGAACGCGGCACTAAGATCTAACATGACCAAAACTGTGACTTTACCTGCATCAGTGTGAAGTCGAATGTCGTTTGTTACCTTCACTAGAGCGGTCTCAGTGCTGTGGTGGGGTCTAAACCCAGACTGGAACATATCAAAAGAATTATTCATTGTTAAAAATTCAGTAAGTTGTTGGGAGGCCACTTTTTCAAGAATTTTTCCAATAAATGGCAGATTCGATATGGGGCGATAATTTTGAAGTCCCGCAGGATCCAGACTGCTCTTTTTTAGGAGAGGTCTTATGACTGCTGTTTTTAGGGCCATAGGAAATGTTCCTGACGACAGAGACATGTTTACTATTTGTGTCAGTGAAGGTAACAAACTGCTCAGGACGGACTTCAGAAATTTAGAGGGCAATATATCCAGGCTACATGTGGAGGAGCTCAGACTCATGATTATCTTTTTGACAGTTTCAGTATCCACAGGTGCAAAGTGAGTTAGCTCAGAAAGCTTCTCTGGCTGTTGCATTGTTATACGTGCTGTGGAGGTGATAGTGTTTTTGATTCCTTGTACTTTGTCATCGAAAAACTGTGCGAACTCATTACACCTAGATTTAGAGGAAAATTCTAGGGGCAACTTTACAGGGGGGTTCGTTAATCTACCAACTGTTGAAAACATAACACGAAAATTGTTACTGCAACCTCCAATAATGTCAGAAAAATACATTTCTCTTGTTCTACGTAGAACCCGGTTAAATTCACCCAACTCATCTTTAAAGATTTCATAATCGCCCTGGAAATTGGACTTTCGCCACTTCCGTTCGGCCCTCCGGCACTCTTTGCTTCTGTGCCCTAACCGAGTCTGCCTTAGTCCATGGGGCCTTTTTCTTACTGGTAACTATTTTAACCGTCACAGGAGCAATGGCGTCCAGAACAGTCAGAACACTGGTGGTGACAGAGTTATACAATTCATCAACAGTAGAGCATGGAGTTTTCTCAAAATTTAGCATTCCCATGAACAGTTCACTTGTGTTTTCATGTATGTGTCTTCTTCTAACAGTTGTAAATTCAGCTGGTGGTTTGCTAGCAAAACACATGTCAAAAAATACACAGAAATGATCTGACAAAGCAACATCAACTACATTAACATTTGATACATTAACCCCCTTTGTAATTAGCAGGTCAAGAGTGTGCCCCCTGCTGTGGGTGGGGCCACTCACGTGCTGAATGAAACCAAAGGTCTCAAATACAGAAGCCAGCTCCTTTGCATTTCTGTCATCAACATTATCAACATGTACATTAAAATCACCTGTAATAACTAAACTATCAAAATCTGTGCACACGAATGAAAGTAGTTCAGTAAAATGGTCAATAAAATCGCAACATGACTGTGGTGGCCTGTACAGGACAATGAAAAGAGTAGAAGATTGCTTTTGTTCCATTTTAAAAGAAATATACTCAAACGATGAAAAATTCCCAAGGGGCATTCTATGGGAGACAAAGTGCTCTCTAAAAACTGCAGCTATGCCTCCCCCCCTTTTGTTTTCTCGTATTTCGGATTCGAATTTAAAATTGGGTGGTGTTGCTTCTATTAGAACTGCATTTCCTGTATTTTGGTCCAGCCATGTTTCAGCCATAAGCATAAAATCAAGATCATAAGAAGTGATAAAATTATTAATTAAAAATGATTTGTTACATAGAGATCTGACATTAAGCATAGCAAGTTTAAAAATAACGTCAGAGTCGATTAATGTGGTTGATTGATTTCTACAGGGAACAGAAATTAGATTTGCAGAGTTGGACCGTCTAACTGCTGTCCTGTTTTGATTTCGTTTTTTAGAATTTAAAAACATTTTTGAGCTGGTGCGAGGAACACACACAGTCTCAATTGGCCTAAAATGTGAAAACCCTTGTTGTTCTTTAGCTCCCAGAGTCAGAAGGGAGTCAGCACAGTTCAGTGTTTGGACTGGTAATGCACTGCCAGACGGACAGGGAGCAGTGTTTGCACCGTTGTACTCACCCGGTGCTGGTGAGCAGGAGGCGGGGGAGTGCGGTGGGGTCCGAGGGGGCTCAGATGTAAACAGTCACGCCCCCCTCGGGGAACGCTGAACAACATAACGTATGTAATCCATCAACAGGCTGCTACCGTATCTGTTTGGGTGTAATCCGTCTGGACGATAGGCTTCGTAACGTTTCCAGAAAAGGGCAAAGTTATTCACAAAGACAAAGTTAAAAGAGCTGCATGTAGCCTGAAGCCACACATGCAGCGCCACAACACGACTGTAGAGGCAGTCACCTCTGTTTACAGTCTGGATTGGACCAGAAATAAAAACAGATAGTCCGGAGGATTGAAGGAGGTGGAACAGCAACATAAAATGTTTCTTCGTGACTTCTGACTGCTGAAGTTTCATGTCGTTAATTCCCACATGCACGACTACCTTGGAAACGGTATCAGGCAGGGACTGAAGCAGAGGAGGGAGACGGATGAGCAGGTCTGGTACAGTAGCTCCGGGAATACAGCGAGTGACCGCGTTGAAGAAGCGGACGTGTCTCACGATGGAATCTCCAATAATCAGAGTGGTCGGGGCGAAGAGTGGCCTCGGAGAAGGAGCTCGGTGGACGGAACCAGCGGGTTCACCCGAAGCAGGACCCGAGCCTGAGCGCCGCTGAACACATGGAGAGGAGGAGCGGGGGTGCTGACTCTCAGCTACAGGCGACCCACGCTGTGTGCTCGGGGACGCTGGAGCGGTGAGAGGGGCTGGCTCTGGGCGCTGCTGCTGACCCGGTGGAGGTGAGCGGTGGTGATGATGGCTCGCTACCCCAGTCTGAGGCTGCTGCACTGGGGTCAACATGGCTGGTGGACCGCTCTTTCGCCTGAGGACTGCTTCCTTTAGGAGCGTTTTCCTCGCAGTGGACTTGGATCCTCGAGCAGTAGAGTTTGCTGCAGTGTCCAGGGATTCTGCTGAGGGGGCCGGGATGTCAGTGGAGAGGGCTGCATAGCGGTTTGCCAGACTCAGGACATGGGCCACGGCGCAGGATGGCTCCTCGGAATCCGCGGGCTCGTTATTCGTAAGCGGGCGCTTAGGTGTAGAACAGGAGGGTCCGGAGCTGACGGATCTCTCCCACACGACAGTGTCACAATATGCAGCGCTCAGTGACATCAGCCGTGAGTGCTGCCCACCAGCGACTTCAAAAAGTTTGGATACTAGAGATTGTTTCTCATTCAACTCTGCGGTGAGACGAAGGACTTCTTTTCGTAGATCTGCAATGGTGGCACGGTCGCTCTCACGGAGCTCCAAGGTGAGGCGACTAATATTGTGCATGTTTGAGCCAATTTCATTGTCACTTTCCATGTCCTCGTTAGCTTGTGTTAGCCTCTGTGCTACTAGTGGGTTTCAGTCGGGACTAAGTGCTATTTGCTGAAACCACTGAATTAAAAAGATAAAACACTCAGATATATTAAAAAACTGAACAATAAAAACGCGCTAAAAAGTTGTTAAAAGTTTACTAAAAAGGTGCACAGAGCAGCCCTGCAGTACTGCTTACTTTGACCGACTAAACACCTGTGCCATCATGAAAGGGCCCTAATCTGTCATCATTAAAGGGCACTAATCTGTCATCATGAAAGGGCACTAATCTGTCATCATGAAAGGGCCCTAATCTGTCATCATTAAAGGGCACTAATCTGTCATCATTAAAGGGCCCTAATCTGTCATCATGAAAGGGCCCTAATCTGTCATCATTAAAGGGCCCTAATCTGTCATCATTAAAGGGCCCTAATCTGTCATCATTAAAGGGCCCTAATATGTTATCATGAAAGGGCCCTAATCTGTCATCATTAAAGGGCACTAATCTGTCATCATGAAAGGGCCCTAATCTGTCATCATTAAAGGGCACTAATCTGTCATCATGAAAGGGCCCTAATCTGTCATCATTAAAGGGCACTAATCTGTCATCATTAAAGGGCCCTAATCTGTCATCATTAAAGACCCCAATCTGTCATCATGAAAGGGCCCTAATCTGTCATCCTGAAGGGCCCTAATCTGTCATCATTAAAGGGTACTAATCTGTCATCATTAAAGGGCCCTAATCTGTCATCATGAAAGGGCCCTAATCTGTCATCATGAAAGGGCCCTAATCTGTCATCATTAAAGGGTACTAATCTGTCATCATTAAAGGGCCCTAATCTGTCATCATGAAAGGGCACTAATCTGTCATCATTAAAGGTCACTAATCTGTCATCATGAAAGGGCCCTAATCTGTCATCATTAAAGGGCCCTAATCTGTCATCATCAAAGGGCCCTAATCTGTCATCATTAAAGGGCACTAATCTGTCATCATTAAAGGGCCCTAATCTGTCATCATTAAAGACCCTAATCTGTCATCATGAAAGGGCCCTAATCTGTCATCCTGAAGGGCCCTAATCTGTCATCATTAAAGGGTACTAATCTGTCATCATTAAAGGGCCCTAATCTGTCATCATGAAAGGGCCCTAATCTGTCATCATGAAAGGGCCCTAATCTGTCATCATTAAAGGGTACTAATCTGTCATCATGAAAGGGCCCTAATCTGTCATCATTAAAGGGCACTAATCTGTCATCATGAAAGGGCCCTAATCTGTCATCATTAAAGGGCCCTAATCTGTCATCATCAAAGGGCCCTAATCTGTCATCATGAAAGGGCCCTAATCTGTCATCATGAAAGGGCCCTAATCTGTCATCATTACAGGTCCCTAATCCGTCATCATGAAAGGGCCCTAATCTGTCATCATGAAAGGGCCCTAATCTGTCATCATTAAAGGGCACTAATCTTTCATCATTAAAAGGCCCTAATCCGTCATCATTAAAGGGCTCTAATCTGTCATCATTAAAGGGCCCTAATCTGTCATCATGAAAGGGCCCTAATCTGTCATCATTAAAAGGCCCTAATCTGTCATCATTAAAAAACCCTAATGCTTTTTTCCAATATTTCTTTAACTGATAACAGTATTTCAAAGAATTTCTAAATTAGTTTTACAAACCCTAAATCTTGTTATTGTTTAAAAAAAAACATTAACAAAATAACAAATAATAAAAAATAAAAAAAACAATGGAGACCTCTGCTGGTAAGAGAGTACTCAGGGAAAAAACATATATGTCTGTGTAATGTGACTCTGTGTGTCATTTACAGGCAAAAATGTAAAGAGGTCCATCCACGGCATGGGGCAGATTATGTCCACGATGGTACTGAGCAGGAAACAGTCCATGTTTAGCGGTGGACAGAGGGGGGCGGGGCTTGCACTTGAAGGACAGAGAGGCAAAGACAGCATCGAGAACATGGACCTGACTGTGATGGACACCAAGCTCAAAATCCTTGAGATCCTTCAGGTATTACATTTACTGCACGTATTTCTGGGGCAAACCTAGCCTGGTCTTACCACACCATGGTACTCATTTCCTTTGGTACTAAGGTCTGTATTTGCTCCATTGACTCCGTTAACAAGTGGGAGGGGTTAACTCCTTTTGAAACAATTGGATCTGAGTTTACCGAGATGTATGTAATGAGCCCGAGTGAATGAGGCTGTTAGCATTTATTCTAGCTTTAGCATTTAGCCTAGCTTTAGCCATCTCCTTTGCCACTAACAGAGCCCGTGGGGAGTAGAGCAGAAATTACATTTGCCAACGAATTACTTTACTATCACATTCTCCGACAAACTAAAACCAGCAAATTCAGCACAAACTCTTGACGTCACCGACACCGACCTACAACACCCGCCTCCCCCGCTCTCTGATTGGTCGGAGGAGATTCAACCGAGGAAACTGCAGCCACTAGCCACTCTGTGCGGCACGATGGCTGAGTGGATAGCACTCTCGCTTCTCAGCAAAAAGGTCCTGGATTTGAATCCCGGTCAGAACGGGGCCTTTCTGAGTGGAGTTTGCATGTTCTGACCGTGTCTGCGTAGGTTTCCTCCGGGTGCTCCGGTCTTCCCTACCACTAAAAACATGTACAATATATCTGGTATTCACCTCCTGTACTGGTCCCGCTCCCATCTTTGTGTGGAATGGGAGACAAAATGCCTAAAAAACTACAATTACTTACTAGGATCAGACCCAGACGTACATGTAGGAAATGACCATGGACCAGAGTTTACACATGGTAAGACCAGACGTACATGTAGGAAATGACCATGGACCAGAGTTTACACATGGTAAGACCAGATGTACATGTAGGAAATGACCATGGACCAGAGGTTACACATAGTAAGACCAGACGTACATGTAGGAAATGACCATGGACCAGAGTTTACACATGGTAAGACCAGACGTACATGTAGGAGATGATCATGGACCAGAGTTTACACATGGTAAGACCAGACGTACATGTAGGAAATGACCATGGACCAGAGTTTACACATGGTAAGACCAGACGTACATGTAGGAAATGATCATGGACCAGAGGTTACACATGGTAAGACCAGACGTACATGTAGGAAATGACCATGGACCAGAGTTTACACATGGTAAGACCAGATGTACATGTAGGAAATGACCATGGACCAGAGGTTACACATGGTAAGACCAGACGTACATGTAGGAAATGACCATGGACCAGAGTTTACACATGGTAAGACCAGACGTACATGTAGGAGATGATCATGGACCAGAGTTTACACATGGTAAGACCAGACGTACATGTAGGAAATGACCATGGACCAGAGTTTACACATGGTAAGACCAGACGTACATGTAGGAAATGACCATGGACCAGAGTTTACACATGGTAAGACCAGACGTACATGTAGGAAATGACCATGGACCAGAGTTTACACATGGTAAGACCAGACGTACATGTAGGAAATGATCATGGACCAGAGGTTACACATGGTAAGACCAGACGTACATGTAGGAAATGACCATGGACCAGAGTTTACACATGGTAAGACCAGATGTACATGTAGGAAATGACCATGGACCAGAGGTTACACATGGTAAGACCAGACGTACATGTAGGAAATGACCATGGACCAGAGTTTACACATGGTAAGACCAGACGTACATGTAGGAGATGATCATGGACCAGAGTTTACACATGGTAAGACCAGACGTACATGTAGGAAATGACCATGGACCAGAGTTTACACATGGTAAGACCAGACGTACATGTAGGAAATGACCATGGACCAGAGTTTACACATGGTAAGACCAGACGTACATGTAGGAAATGACCATGGACCAGAGTTTACACATGGTAAGACCAGACGTGCATGTAGGAAATGACCATGGACCAGAGTTTACACATGGTAAGACCAGACGTACATGTAGGAGATGATCATGGACCAGAGTTTACACATGGTAAGACCAGACGTACATGTAGGAAATGACCATGGACCAGAGTTTACACATGGTAAGACCAGACGTACATGTAGGAGATGATCATGGACCAGAGTTTACACATGGTAAGACAGACGTACATGTAGGAAATGACCATGGACCAGAGTTTACACATGGTAAGACCAGACGTACATGTAGGAAATGACCATGGACCAGAGTTTACACATGGTAAGACCAGACGTACATGTAGGAAATGACCATGGACCAGAGTTTACACATGGTAAGACCAGACATACATGTAGGAAATGATCATGGACCAGAGGTTACACATGGTAAGACCAGACGTACATGTAGGAAATGACCATGGACCAGAGTTTACACATGGTAAGACCAGATGTACATGTAGGAAATGACCATGGACCAGAGGTTACACATGGTAAGACCAGACGTACATGTAGGAAATGACCATGGACCAGAGTTTACACATGGTAAGACCAGACGTACATGTAGGAGATGATCATGGACCAGAGTTTACACATGGTAAGACCAGACGTACATGTAGGAAATGACCATGGACCAGAGTTTACACATGGTAAGACCAGACGTACATGTAGGAAATGACCATGGACCAGAGTTTACACATGGTAAGACCAGACGTACATGTAGGAAATGACCATGGACCAGAGTTTACACATGGTAAGACCAGACGTACATGTAGGAGATGATCATGGACCAGAGTTTACACATGGTAAGACCAGACGTACATGTAGGAAATGACCATGGACCAGAGTTTACACATGGTAAGACCAGACGTACATGTAGGAAATGACCATGGACCAGAGTTTACACATGGTAAGACCAGACGTACATGTAGGGATGATCATGGACCAGAGTTTACACATGGTAAGACCAGACGTACATGTAGGAAATGACCATGGACCAGAGTTTACACATGGTAAGACCAGACGTACATGTAGGAAATGACCATGGACCAGAGTTTACACATGGTAAGACCAGACGTACATGTAGTTTACACATGGTAAGACCAGGCTGGGGATCTGCTATAGGGTCTGGTCTGATTCTTGTTCTGTTTTTCTCTTTCCAGTTCATTCTAAACGTACGCCTGGATTACCGGCTCTCGTTCCTTTTGTCTGTCTTTAAAAAGGAGTTTGTAGAGGTTTATCCAATGGGTGATGCTGATGCGACTACCAATTTGGAGACGGCAGGTAAGGCCCGGAAACTACAACAAACTCCATACAAAACACAACGTAGTGACGACAAGAACTTAGAAAATACTTCAGTGCTTGGATCAGGCAACGAGTCAAGTTATATCAGAGGATGTTTCCATTTTTTCTCTCCACTTTTTGAACAAGACTCTCTGGTGTCATTTGACGAGCACTTACAGTATCACCAGAATGATTGACAGTTGGGAGGACCAATAGTCTTGAGGATGCACCCAGAAGTAAAAAATCCTCCTCTTTACCTTTGACTTTCAAGACTAACACTGGTTTAGACATAGAGATAAAGATGAAATTATGAATAAAAGCCATGAAATTAAAGGTGCAGTAAAGGATTCAGGTTAGCTTAGCATTAGCATCCGAGTAGCACTGAATCAAAACCACTCCCACCTGTCTTCCACTTAACCCAACCCCAGCACATGTACGCCTTTTCTGTAATAACACAGTCTGTGACAAAGAAATGTGAAAGTTTTACTCTACATTAGGCTCAAGTCTGTGAGCGGTTAGCCTGCTATACTTGACACATGCTAGCTTCACCTGACAAACTAGCACTTAGCATAACTGGACTGCCGTAGCATCACAGAGCCCTGGCTGCGTCCAGAATCTTCTTATACAACACCTTTTCCTCTGATTTTCTCTTTTCTGTCACTTTGGGGGTTTTTAGTTCAGCCATTGTTGGTGTTTTAGAAAATCTCAAAAACAATTCAGACAGGTAGGTTTCTCACCCATCATCTGTACTTCTTTTAAAGCAGAAAGCATTAGAATCTGACCAGTTGGCAAGAAAAATACAACAAAACTATTGTATGAGGATTCTCAATTCAAGAATTCGACAACTTAACATAGAGATTTTACATTTATAGGATGAGATAGAGTAACTGGAATTGGCAGACCCACCAGAGATTTTTCAGAGGATTTGGACGTTTACTGAAACTGCAAGAACGCCAAAGAACGTCAGATAGGCCAATTTTAAAAACTCCATAATTCTTTTCAACATTCTAAAAGTGAAATTGGACAAGTAAGTAAGTAAGTAGTAGTAAGTAATCTTTATTTATATACCGCCTTTTCACTGCAGATCTGAGTCTCAAAGCGGTTTAGAATTGTTAATTTTTGAGCATTTGTCTCTTTCATCATTAAAGGGCCCTAATCTGTCATCATTAAAGGGCCCTAATCTGTCATCATTAAAGGGCACTAATCTGTCATCATGAAAGGGCCCTAATCTGTCATCATGAAAGGGCCCTAATCTGTCATCATGAAAGGGCCCTAATCTGTCATCATGAAAGGGCCCTAATCTGTCATCATTAAAGGGCCCTAATCTGTCATCATTAAAGGGCACTAATCTGTCATCATGAAAGGGCCCTAATCTGTCATCATTACAGGTCCCTAATCTGTCATAATTAAAGGGCACTAATCTGTCATCATTAAAGGGCACTAATCTGTCATCATTAAAAGGCCCTAATCTGTCATCATTAAAAGGCCCTGTTCTGTCATAATTAAAAAGACCTAATCTGTCATAATTAAAGGGCCCTAATCTGTCATCATTAAAAGGCCCTAATCCGTCATCATGAAAGGGCTCTAATCTGTCATCATGAAAGGGCCCTAATCTGTCATCATGAAAGGGCCCTAATCTTACTTAACATAGAGATTATACATTTATAGGATGAGATAGAGTAACTGGAATTGGCAGACCCACCAGAGATTTTTCACAGGATTTGGACGTTTACTGAAACTGCAAGAACGCCAAAGAACGTCAGATAGGCCAATTTTAAAAACTCCATAATTCTTTTCAACATTCTAAAAGTGAAATTGGACAAGTAAGTAAGTAAGTAGTAGTAAGTAATCTTTATTTATATACCGCCTTTTCACTGCAGATCTGAGTCTCAAAGCGGTTTAGAATTGTTAATTTTTGAGCATTTGTCTCTCACTCCACACAGAGATGGGAGCGGGGCCAGTACAGGAGGCACAGACCTATTGTACATGTTTTTTAGTGGTAGGGGAAACCGGAGTGCCCGGAGGAAACCTACGCAGACACTCAGAAAGGCCCTGGTCCGACCGGGATTTGAACCCAGGACCTTCTTGCTGAGAGGCGAGAGTGCTATCCACTCAGCCCAGGGGTGGACAATGAGAATTGGGTCAAAAATCTGTCCGAGCGGCATTTATCACATGTGGAAAAAGATGTTCTTACCAAAGGCCTAAGTTTTGCGATAACCCTAAAACTAAGAAGTACAGATGATGGATCTTAACTCAGAGATCAGATTCAGATTATTTGCCATTTGCAGTAAAAAAACATTGGAATACATTAGTCTGAGGTGACTGAGGAAAAGCAGGAGGAAGGACCTTTACTTTTTGAGGCTACATCTGGTCGTGTCCATTCCTTTTTGCGAACACATGATAATTTGACCACGTTTGGGGTTTAGGCACGTTTCTCACAGGATTTTAAACTTACATCTGGATAAATCATTGACTGCATCTTTAATCCAACAAACTCAAGTCAAATAGTGACTCACAGCGCTCTTTTTTTAGCATAAAAAGACAACACGGTTTTTAGTCATTTGCGAACTTGCTTAACGATACTTAACTTTTTAAGAAAGTTAGTAACCTCAGTTTTAAGTTCTACCTCTTTCTTGTCGTTTTGCAGCCTCCATTAATCTGCTGCAGATTGGAGAACAGGTGGAAGCCATGTTTGGAGTCGGGTGAGTTCAGAAGAAAAGACGAATTAGTAAAAAGCATGAAAAAACTGACTCTGCACCGTGATAAAACATGTTAATAACAGTTTAAATATCTTTAAACTCACACGACATAGACCACAGACATCTAACTATCACTAAAAATAACATCAATTCTGCTTATTTTTTAGGTTTTTGTGGCTTGAATGTAGTTTGTCATAAGATTATTGTACTAGTTTTAAGATCCTTCAGAATATTATCAGAGAAAAAAGTCTGAGCAGTGAGTTTTTAAGCTTAAATAATACTTGAAATGTATGTTTTTAAACTAGAATCAAGTCGTTTGGAGCTAGTTTTATTTTATTATTTTCAGAAATCTTCAAGACATATTTCTTTGTTCATTTAACAGAGCGTTTTTAGTATTTTAAGCAGTATTTTACCCATTTTTATGCATGTTTTTCTCATGTTTTTCCAGTTTTTTGTCCATGTGTTTTCTGTATATTGTTATGTTACAGAAAAGGGAACAGTGTGTTGGAGGTGGATGACGAAGGCGGCAGGATGTTGCTGCGTGTCCTGATCCATCTCACCATGCACAACTACCCCCCCCTGGTGTCCGGGGCGCTGCAGCTGCTCTTCCGACACTTCAGCCAGAGACAAGAGCTGCTGCACACCTTCAAACAGGTAGGGGAAACCCGGGGCACCCAGAGGAAACCTGAGCAGATGTAGCGGGGCTGGTTTTCAAGACAAGATTCAGATGCGTTCTTTTATCTACATCAGAATCTGTTTAAATGAATATATCTTCAGCCCGGAGACAACAGCTGGAAATTAGCATCTTTGCTACTCTCGGGTTTCATTTGACGTCAGGGCAGTGGCGTGAATAACAAACCTAGGACAGGACGTGACGTATCCTGGCGCTGCAGTCTGCCGGGTTTATACACGGAGATATAGTAGAAGAAGAAGTGGTTTATACACGGAGATATAGTAGAAGAAGAAGCGCTGTCAAAATGCCATCTTTTTGTGCGGTGTACGTTTGTAGCAACAGCACAAATAGAGAGAAAGACCAGAGTTTGTTCATGTTCCAACTGTGGTCTCATATAAAGGAGGACACTGGAATGAGGCGGGGGAGGTGGATCAAGGCTTTCCCAGATAATTCAGATTCAGATTCAGAAAACTTTATTGATCCCTTAAGGGCAATTGATTTGCTGCAACCTCCGACAGATGTTGTACAAACACATCACAACACTCACTGTGTGTCACTTCCAACAGTACAGACAATAGCAAATAATTAAAAGAAAACGACACATTTCACAAAGGTCGGTGTCACTTAATAAACACACTCCCTTCAGAATTCAACAGTTTAGTGACAGAGGGGACAAAAGAGTTGGCGTAACGATTTGTTTTCCGAGAGGGTACATAAAAACGACGTCCAGAAGGCATGAGCGAAAACTCAGAGGACAGAGCATGGAGAGGCTGACCCAAGATACATTTAGCTTTCTTTAGCGCCTGCTCCTCCCAAAGAGACTGTAGGTCTCTTTGTTTAACACCAATAATTTTAGAGCAGATTTTGATAATGTTTTGCAGTTTGTTTTTATCTTTCACAGACAAACCCTTGAACCAGCAAACAAATGAAAATGTTAATAGGCTCTCTATAAAACAGCAGTAAAAGTTGCAGAGAATCCTTTTATTTACATTAAAAGAGTTCAGCTTCCTTAGAAGATAGATTCTCTGCTGACCGCGTTTAAAAACGGAGTCTGTATTTGCGTCAAACCGCAACTTGTTGTCCATCCAAGAACCAAGATATTTGTACTTCTCCACCACTTCCACCCCTTCACCATGGATGACACTGCTGCCCAGAGAGGGCGCTGTGGAGCGTCTAAAGTCAATAATCATGTCCTTTGTTTTTGAGACGTTTAGATCCAAGTAGTTGCTGTCGCACCATTGGACAAACTCTGTCAATGCAGGGCCGTGGTTCATTTCAGATCCTGAGAGTAAGGACACCAGGACTGTGTCGTCTGAAAACTTAACCAGGGATCTGTTCTTCTGAGTGACCCGGCAACTGTCTCAGCGCCCCCTGCAGGCCACCCCAATGAAACGCAGCAATCTCTTCTGTTTGTTTTCTTTCCAAAAATGCCCAAAATAAAGACTCTTATGAGAAGTATTTGTTAGTCCTCCCTTAGAATTGAGTGTCCCCGATTAAGACTGTTCCAACAACCGTACACCGCACAGGAGGAGAGCCTTTGACTCCAAAACAGACTTTACATGGTTTTCAATGGGAGCAAAACTGTCCCACCTCTGCTCATGCGCCCCCTACAGGCCAGGATCATGAAACACAAGAATAACCTGGTACAATACATCTCTCCTTTGTGTTAATGTTAAATAAAGTACATATCATACCGTATCTGGTCACAAAAGATTATTTTGATCTTATTCAACCAAACAAGGTGTATTCTCTTCAAATTATTATTTTTTTTTAAGTTGTAAGGACGCTCACTGTTATAGTTCAGTGAGATGATGAAACGGTGAGAAACTGAAGCCGGAGCAAGAGGAATGTTTAGCAAATGTAATCGCTGGCAAAGATTGTGGCCCTACTCTCCACGGGCTCCGTTAGCAGCACAGGAGATGGCTAAAGCTAGGTTAAATGCTAAAGCTAGGCTAAAGCATTGTTCTGGCGCCAGCTCCCGCTGTGCAGCTCGTTACTTTGGCCCTTTCTCTATTTATTTCTTGTAGATGTGCTTTTTTATTTTTATTTTTTGTAGACAAGCGTTTATTTGTGCATTGTGCACACGGGAAGCCTAGCCTCGTGGACTTTCTCACTGGATTAACATGTCTTCGGCACTTTTTTCAGAGTCCTTCGCTCACAGAGCCACGAGACCAGCGTGTCCCATTGTTTACACACAGGAGCAGCTTCTCGGACTTAGAGACTCCGCTTTCCGGCACTCAGAGAAGCCGGTGATCCCCGTGGAGATCCGTAGGAGACGCAGGGGCTCCAGAGGAGGCCGAAAGAGGAAGAAGAGACCGTATCTCCCCTCCATCCTCATGGGGAACGTACGGTCCATCTCTAATAAGACTGAGGAGCTGACCGCACTGGTCCGCCATCATAAAGAGTACAGACAATGTGGACTTATGTGTTTCTCTGAGACGTGGCTGTGTGGGAATATACCGGACTCTGTGGTCGCTCTGGAGGGATTTAAACTTGTGCGAGCGGACCGCTGCGCGGAGGGGAGTGGGAAGAGGAAAGGCGGGGGTGTCGAGGTCTACGTGAACGAGCAGTGGTGCATCCCGACGCACGTGCATGTGGTTCAGCGTACATGCACCCAGGACCTGGAGCTGCTCGCTGTGAGCATGAGACCCAGGTATCTGCCACGGGAGTTTTCACACACCGTGGTTTACATTCCTCCGTCAGGAGACGGGGCCGCTGCATGTGAGGAGATCCACAGAACTGTGACCCAGATCCAGACCCGCAGTCCCCGCGCTCTGATTCTGATCAGCGGAGACTTTAACCACGCCTCCCTCTCCGCCACTCTCCCGACATTCAAACAGTATGTCACGTGCCCAACTCGTGGCAATAAGACTCTGGACCTACTGTATGTTAATGTGCGGGACGCATACGCCTCCTCCCCCCTCCCCCCTCTCGGACGCTCTGATCACAGCCTGGTCCGTCTGTCTCCGGAATACACACCAGTGGTGAGAAGAAATCCAGCGCGGAAGAGGATTGTAAAAGTGTGGAGTGATGATGTGGATGAGATGCTGAGAGATTGTTTTCAAAACACTGATTGGGAAATGATCTGCAGCTCTCATGGTGAGGACATCGAGAGCCTGACACACTGCATTACAGACTATATTCTCTTCTGTGTGGATAACACTGTACCAACTAAGAAGGTGCGGTGTTTTTCTAACAACCACCCATGGGTGACCCCTGAGCTTAAAGCCCTCCTGAACCTCAAGTAAAGGACTTTCATCTCAGGGGACAGGGAGGAGCAGAAGAGGATCCAGCACGAGCTCCAGTGGAGGATCAGGAGGGCCAAGAAGGACTATGGGAAAAAGCTGGAGCAGAAGCTGGCCCAGGGAAACGCCCGCGACGTGTGGAGAGGCCTAAAGAACATCTCCAGCTTTGGACAGAGTGCCAGAGGAACAGCGGATGGAGACCAGCACCGGGCGGATGAATTTAACCAGTACTTCAACCGGTTTGATTCTCCCCCCTCTCCATCTGCCCCCCCTCCCGCCCCCACCTCTTCACACGTCCCCAGCCCAGTGGACACCGCCCAGTGGACACTGCCTCCGGCTGCCCCGGGCCCTCCTGCCCCCGCATCCCCAGCCCCCACCTCGGACAGTACACCCCGGTCCCCCCCCCCCTCTCCATCACACCGGACCAGGTGAGGAGTCAGCTCCAGCGCCTGAAGCAGAGGAAATCCGCAGGACCGGACGGGATCAGTCCCAGGCTGCTGAGGACCTGTGCAGACCAGCTCTCTGGGGTCCTCAGCTACATGTACAACCTGAGCCTCAGCCTGGAGAAGGTCCCTGTCCTGTGGAAGACCTCCTGTGTGATCCCGGTTCCAAAAACAGCACACGCCAAGGAACCGGCTCACTACAGACCAGTCGCACTGACCTCCCACCTGATGAAGACCATGGAGCACTGACCTCCCACCTGATGAAGACCATGGAGCACTGACCTCCCACCTGATGAAGACCATGGAGCACTGACCTCCCACCTGATGAAGACCATGGAGCACTGACCTCCCACCTGATGAAGACCATGGAGCACTGACCTCCCACCTGATGAAGACCATGGAGCACTGACCTCCCACCTGATGAAGACCATGGAGCACTGACCTCCCACCTGATGAAGACCATGGGAGCGGCTCATCCTCACCCATCTCCGCTCCGTGGTCAGCCCCACCCTGGACCCGCTGCAGTTCGCCTACAGACCCAACATCGGAGTAGAGGACGCCGTCATCTACTTCCTGCAGCGGACGCTTTCCCACCTGGAGCCCGCCGGGAGCGCTGTGAGGGTCATGTTTTTCGACTTCTCCAGTGCTTTCAATACCATCAGGCCGGCACTGCTGCAGGGGAAGATGGAGGACGCGGGAGTGGACAGTAGCCTCACTGCATGGACCATCAACTACCTCTCAGACCGACCACAGTACGTGCGGCTGCGCAGCTGTGAGTCTGAGGTGGTCGTCTGCAGCACTGGGGTCCCTCAGGGCACTGTCCTCTCACCGTTTCTCTTCACCATCTACACCTCAGACTTCACACACGACACACACAGCTGTCACCTGCAGAAGTTCTCCGACGACTCCGCCATCGTGGGCTGTGTGTCTGAGGGGAACGAACTGGAATATCGATCGGTTATCACAGACTTTGTCGACTGGTGTGAGTGCAACCACTTGTGCTTGAACACCAGTAAGACCAAGTAGATGATCATCGACTTCAGGAGAAAACCACTTTCCCACACGCTGCTGAACATCCAGGGGGAGGACATTGAGCTGGTGGACAGCTTCAAGTACCTGGGTGTTCACATTAACAATAAACTGGACTGGTCCATAATACAAACGCCCTGCACAAGAAGGGCCAAAGTCGCCTCTTCCTTCTGAGGAGGCTGAGGTCCTTCTGAGGAGGCTGAGGTCCTTCTGAGTGAGCAGGCCTCTGCTCAGGACTTTTTATGACTCTGTGGTAGCTTCTGCCATTTACTACGCTGCCGTGTGCTGGGCCCCGGGCAGCACAGAGCGGGACAGAAACAGACTGAACAAGCTGGTCAGGAGGGCCAGCTCCACTCTGGGCTGCTCCCTGGACTCTGTGGAGGAGGTGAGGGACAGGAGGCTCCTGGACTCTGTGGAGGAGGTGAGGGACAGGAGGCCCCTGGACTCTGTGGAGGAGGTGAGGGACAGGAGGCCCCTGGACTCTGTGGAGGAGGTGAGGGACAGGAGGCTCCTGGACTCTGTGGAGGAGGTGAGGGACAGGAGGCTCCTGGACTCTGTGGAGGAGGTGAGGGACAGGAGGCCCCTGGACTCTGTGGAGGAGGTGAGGGACAGGAGGCTCCTGGACAGGGCTTAAAGTTTTCCGGCACCGTGCCGGAAATCCGGCGTGAAAAAAAAAAAAAAAAAACATCACTTTTTTTTTTTTTTTTTTTTTTTTTGCTTAATATATATATAAATAAATAATGATTGCTGTCATTTGAAAAAGGTTCAAGTGTGTTCTACCAATTGTATGAAAGGATTGCATGTGTATAGCGCAGGGATTAAAGAGTTCCGTCTAAGTGACGGATTTCCGTCAAATGAAATTGGTCTGAAAAAAAAACCAAAATATATAATAATAATATAATACACACAATGAAATGGTTAATTATAACAAAATATATAGTAATACGTGTGAATCTGTTGTATATATCTAGATATATATTAATAATTTGAATATAATTGTATTTATATGTATATAGAAATAAAAAGTAATATAATCACACAAAGTGTCCTACCACAATTACGCTGACGACACTCAGATCTATGTCTCACTGACTGCAGGAGAACATGGACCACTGGATTTGCTCCTTCACTGTATCCAACAGATCAGTGACTGGATGCAAAATAATTTCCTCCAGCTAAATGCAGACAAAACCGAAATCATTGTCTTTGGTCCCCAGAAACAAAGAGAGGGCGTCATTTGTCAACTTCAGTCTCTCTCCCTACTTCCTTCAGACAAGGTCAGAAATTTGGGGGTAATACTGGACTCAGACCTAAATTTCAATAGCCACATAAAATCAATAACATCAACAGCTTTTTACCATCTGAAGAACATTGCCAAAGTTAGAAATATAGTGTCCAGGGCAGACTTGGAGATTCTTGTCCATGCATTTGTCTCCAGCAGGCTAGACTACTGCAATGGCCTGCTTACAGGTCTGTCCAAACAGACCTGTAAGCAGCTGCAGTACATCCAAAATGCAGCAGCTAGAGTCCTGACAGGAACCAGGAAGTATGACCATATTAGTCCGGTCCTCAGGTCTCTGCACTGGCTTCCTGTGGCTCAAAGAATAGATTTTAAAACGGCTCTGCTTGTGTACAAGTCTCTCCATGGCCTTGCACCAGAATACATTAGTGACATGTTGGTGTCATATGAACCGGCCCGGACTCTGAGGAGCACAGGGACTGGCCTCCTGCTGGTGCCCAGAGTGAGAACCAAACATGGGGAGGCTGCGTTTCAGATCCATGCAGCTAAGATCTGGAACAATCTCCCTGAAAATGTGAGGGAGGCGTCTACTCTGTCAATGTTCAAATCCAGGTTAAAGACTGTTCTGTTTGCCTGTGCATATAACTGAAGGATTTTATCTCCATTTTTAATGCACTGCTGTCATTTATTTATTTTTTTTAAATTTCTTGTGTAATTTTGAAAGTTTTAATGGTTTTATTCTTTTGTGTGATTTTACTGTTTTAATTGTGTTTTAATCTTTTGTGTGATTTTAATGTTTTAATTGTGATTCTGGGTTTGTTTTATGTGATGATTTGTGATGTGGACTGTGAAGCGCTTTGTGTTGCCCTGTGTATGAAAGGCGCTCTACAAATAAACTTTGATTGATTGAATGAATAATCACGAGTGGGCCTTGAACGTGCCGTGGCTAGCTACATGAGCGCTCCGTAAATGATTCAAGGCAATGGGACGTAGCCAAGTTAGCGATGGTAACACGGAGGTGAAAGTTTCTGAAAAGTGCACGGAGCTTTTGAAAAGGAGAAGAGGACAAGGAAAATGTAATCCCGAACGGAGCAATAACAGCCAGCAGCCCGCGGACCGGTAAGCTAGGCGCGTTATCAGAGGAAAGGTAGGACATAATTAACGTTTACCAAACGCAATGCTTTTTTATTTAACGGAATGTACAATATGTACTTTGCTGTGACTGGGAATGGGGACAAGCATGTCTTGGTGAGCTTTTGATAATATCTTGGTGGCGATCCGCATGCAAAACTGCGTGATAAAAAGAGCCAATCAACGAGAGCGAACGGAAGAAACTCGCTGAAGAAAGGTGTGTGTTAGCAGGTCTTATATTCATTCATCAAAGCTAGCCTAGCATGCACGCACAATCACAATCATGGATCGTTGTTTATGGAAGAAGGAGCAGTATAAGTTGCTGTTGATAACAGTGAAAAATAAATGGAGGTGGGCATGGCTGGATGAGGTGGAGACGATGGGATTCTGTTGCTTCATGGTGCAAAAAGATGAAGGTGTCCGGTGCTTGTTCGTACTTCGCTATTATTATTTTTTTATATGGGAGTAATGAGAAAACAGCTTTGGATTCACCACCAGCTCAAAACTGCGCACTTGGCAGCTGTCCGTGCACTTTCCCACACTTCTTTACCTGGTGCATCAGATTCAGCGACAACTGAGACTAGGCTTGCTCTGGTGGACTGTGTCTGTGACCTAAAACTATCTGTGGCTTTATCGCAGAAAATAACCTGTCGTTCAGAACCATCACTACCGCTGGTAGATTTAATTATCATTAATCATTTGCAGTTGATAAAACTGCGCTGTGCACTAGCACCAAGTTGATAGGGAAACCTTTTTCTTAAACATTGAGTGTCCACAAACAAATGTGGACAGAATTTTGAATGTCCTTTTGCGATATTTTGACGAGGACAGAGCCAAAGGACAACGCCTCATCTCGCCTCAAGTAAAGCCAATGATGCAGATGAACTACTCTCACTAATATTCTGTCAAAGAGTTGACAAGTTGCTTGATCCACTGGTTGTAATTTCACATCAAAATACACCAGTTTAAATGTATATCTTTGAAGAATTCGTTTGATCTGTAATTCATTATATTTCCATGAGAAAATTTTCAGTCAAATCTTTTTTTTTGCTTTAACCCCTGGCCGCTTATAAAAAACTCTTATTAGTGATCATTCTATGATTCATATAGATGGTTCAGGCTCAGGAATTTTTTCAACTTTAACCCATGCCTGGACTCTGTGGGAGGAGGTGAGGGACAGGAGGCTCCTGGACTCTGTGGAGGAGGTGAGGGACAGGAGGCTCCTGGACTCTGTGGAGGAGGTGAGGGACAGGAGGCCCCTGGACTCTGTGGAGGAGGTGAGGGACAGGAGGCCCCTAGACTCTGTGGAGGAGGTGAGGAACAGGAGGCTCCTGGACTCTGTGGAGGAGGTGAGGGACAGGAGGCTCCTGGACTCTGTGGAGGAGGTGAGGGACAGGAGGCTCCTGGACTCTGTGGAGGAGGTGAGGGACAGGAGGCCCCTAGACTCTGTGGAGGAGGTGAGGAACAGGAGGCTCCTGGACTCTGTGGAGGAGGTGAGGGACAGGAGGCTCCTGGACTCTGTGGAGGAGGTGAGGGACAGGAGGCTCCTGGACTCTGTGGAGGAGGTGAGGGACAGGAGGCCCCTGGACTCTGTGGAGGAGGTGAGGGACAGGAGGTGCTAGCCAAAGCCACCTCCATCATGAACAACACCTCCCACTGCACAGGACTGTAGAGGAGCTGAGGAGCTCCTTCAGTGGAAGACTGAGGCACCCTCAGTGTAGGAAGGAGCAGGGCCTTTATCCCCACCGCTGTCAGACTGTACAATAAGTCACTTTAAATGATCACTGTGTGAAAACCTGCACTACTTTTGACACTGTTTCCAATTGACACTTGTCACTTTTGTTGTACATAATTATTGTCACTTTATTGTACATATATCCTGCATGTAACATGTTTGCACATTTCCTCCTTTTGCACAATCTGAGTGTCTCTATCCATGCTAAATGTGACATGTAAATTTCTCCTATGTGAGATAAATAAAGCTTATCTTATCTTATCTTATCTTAATGCTAAATACTAAATGCTAACTCACTCGGGCTCATTACATACGTCACAGTAAACTTAGATTCAATGGTTTGTCTGTAAAAGGAGTTAACCCCTCGCTCCTGCTAACAGAGTCAATGCGGCACCTTCAGACCTTAAGTACGAAATGTACTTTGTACTATGGTGTGGTGCGACCGGGTTAGGTTTGGTGGTTGTGCTCATGAAACTGGTGGGTTCGGTGCCTCCCACAAGGTTAAGAACTAATGCTCTGATGTTTGGATGTTTGTGTCGTCTGCAGGTGCAGCTGCTGATCACGACGCAGGACGTGGAGAACTACAAACTCATCAGAGTGGATCTGGACGAACTGCGAACGCTGGTGGAAAAATCTGAATTGTGGGTCGAAAAAAAGAACTCGGGAGATAAGAAAGAGAAAGGAGGGGACAAGAAGAAGGAAGAGAAGAAGGAGAAAACAGAGGTGAGGAGCAGAGGGAATGACAGGGCTGGGTTTGAGAAGATGGAAAGGAGAGAAACAAAACAAAGGAAAAAATATTCTTCTTGCTAACCTGCTAGCTTAAAGGAGCAATATTTAAACATGTGGTCAAAAGTGGTACTGCAGCCTCTCCCACTCTCCCTGACTCAGGTTGCCAGATATGCAGACGAATCCAGCTGGGACCATAACAGCTGAATAGACAAGAGTTTTGTCAACAACAAATCTATAACCAACACCTTTTTCACAAAGATAGATTTTTAGTTCTGCCCCACATGGTACTTTACCCGTGAGATTAGCTCCACGCATTGGATTCTGGCAACCCGGGTCACAGACTTTCTAATTGGTGAAACGGTGGAGGGCGAAAAATAAAAACAAAAACAAGCTTTAATATTGTTGTTTCACAAAACAACAATATTTTTTTGTTTAGACTTGTTTTTTTCTGTATTTATTTCAAAAGTTCACATTTTTCCTGAAGTTTTTTCTCTCAATCTGTTGTCGGGAGTTTCATTTGGTTTCTTCTTAAATGGGTGATTCTTCAACTATGGAAAAATCTGGGTCTGTATTTTTTGGAAGATCTAAATTAAAATTTCTAAAATATTGTTTAGTGAAGTGTTGTAGTTAAAGGTGGTTTAAAAGTATTATTACTATTATTTTATATTTGGATGGAATATAGTTATGTGATGGAAATGATGAAACACACATTTACTAAAAAATCTCAAACTTTGCTAGCATGCTAATCTCTAGTGTTAGCTTTAGCATTAAATATACACAAAATACAAAAACTACTTTTTTTCTAAACGACAGCCAAAAGTTTTTTTTTAATTTTCAAACTTTACCTTGACTTTTTTCTTGGACTTGGGACTGCTACATGCTAACACTGCTAAATGCTAACACTGCTACATGGTTAACAATGCTACATGGCTAACGATGCTACATGGCTAACAATGCTACATGCTAACACTGCTACATGCTAGCACTGCTACATGGTTAACAATGCTACATGCTAACACTGCTACAGGCTAACACTGCTACATTGCTAACAGTGCTACATGCTAACAATACTGTCCTGACCAGAGGACTCGTGTCAAATGACAGCTGTTGTAGTTTCAGGTAAATAAGAATTTTGTTAAACTCACAAATGCACAGTTTGTGTGATCGAAATGATCGTTAAGGACATGTTTTTAAAAATATATACATACAATTATGATATTTTTGAAAATCAAATAACACATTTAAGTCAATTCATATTTTTTTCTTTTTTTTGTGTTTATATCAATCCAGAACCAGGATTTTCCATGAGCTGTAGAATCACCCATGTGTGTTTCCTGTTGTAGTTGTTGATGTCTATGTGGCTGTGTGTGAGCGGGTGTATGAGTCTCCAATGTTTCTCCTGACCTATAGGGGGCATCAGAGGAGCCTGTCGTGAAGAAGGACAAAACGGAGAAGACAAATGATAGCTACCAGAAGGTCAAAGAGGTCAGATCATCTCTCATGTTGGCGGGGCTCTCACTGTTGTGGGCAAATGTTTTGTTGTCGGCTTTGAATTCTGATTTTCTACTGGTTTTTGGGAAACACATTTTGTGGATTTTGCATTTGGTAAAATATTAATGTTTTGATATATTTATAACAACTATCATGGGACAATTACTTCTGCCATATTTACAGAAATGTTTATTAGTATACTGTCCTTGAAATAAATAAAGTTAATTTCTTAACTACAAAAGATTTTGCTTGATTAAAAAAAAAAACACAATAATGTAAAAAATACACATAAACACACACAGGTTCTCTCCATGGCCTCGCACAAAGTACATTAGTGACATGTTAGTACCAATGGCCCCGACTCTGAGGAGCACAGGGACTGGCCTCCTGCTGGGACTCAGAGGAGCACAGGGACTGGACTCCTGCTGGGACTCTGAGGAGCACAGGGACTGGACTCCTGCTGGGACTCAGAGGAGCACAGGGACTGGACTCCTGCTGGTCCCAGAATCAGAACCTTACATAGGGAGGCGTCCAGGAGAATGCCCGAGCCACCTCAACTGGTTCATCTCCTCATGAAGAAGCAGTGGCTCTACTTCGAGCTCCTTCCGTGTGACTGAGCTCCTCTATTTCCAATTGAGCCGCCGCTTTGCGGAGGAAGCTCATTTCGGCCTCTTCACCATAAAGGCCTGATACAGCTCTGACAGCAGACGCTGCTCCCTCTTCACCACAACGGTCCATTACAGCTCTGACTGCAGATGCTGCTCCCTCTTCACCACAACGGTCCATTACAGCTCTGACAGCAGACGCTGCTCCCTCTTCACCAAAACGATCCGTTACAGCTCTGACTGCAGACGCTGCTCCCTCTTCACCACAACGGCCCATTACAGCTCTGACTGCAGACGCTGCTCCCTCTTCACCACAACGGTCCATTACAGCTCTGACTGCAGACGCTACTCCCTCTTCACCAAAACGGTCTATTACAGCTCTGACTGCAGACGCTGCTCCCTCTTCACCAAAACGATCCGTTACAGCTCTGACAGCAGACGCTACTCCCTCTTTACCAAAACGGCCCATTACAGCTCTGACTGCAGACGCTACTCCCTCTTCACCAAAACGGTCTATTACAGCTCTGACTGCAGACGCTACTCCCTCTTCACCAAAACGGTCGATTACAGCTCTGACTGCAGACGCTGCTCCCTCTTCACCACAACAGTCCATCACAGCTCTGACTGCAGACGCTACTCCCTCTTCACCAAAACAATCCGTTACAGCTCTGACTGCAGACGCTGCTCCCTCTTCACCAAAACGGCCCATTACAGCTCTGACTGCAGACGCTGCTCCCTCTTCACCAAAACGGCCCATTACAGCTCTGACTGCAGACGCTGCTCCCTCTTCACCAAAACGGCCCATTACAGCTCTGACGGCAGACGCTGCTCCGATCCGCCGTCAAACTCTCCGCCCACACTCAGATTAAGTTTTATTTTAAACACCTGTATTTGAATAACTAATAATACACAGAGTATACAGGTGCAGACTTAACACCTGTGTTTTGTTGCTCAGATTTTGGAGCGGTTGAACAGAATGTGCAGCAGTGGAGTTTGGAAGAAGCAGCAGAGACTCCTGAAGAACATGGGAGCCCACAAAGTCATGCTGGACCTGCTCCAAGTGTCGTATGACAAGGTAACGGCAGCTCTGTTCACATAATCAGATGTTTCAGGTCTGTTAGAGTCAGCTCTGTTCACATAATCAGATGTTTCAGCTTCAGTAGAGTCAGCACTATTCATATAATCAGATGTTTCAGGTCTGTTAGAGTCAGCTCTGTTCACATAATCAGATGTTTCAGCTTCAGTAGAGTCAGCACTATTCATATAATCAGATGTTTCAGGTCTGTTAGAGTCAGCTCTGTTCACATAATCAGATGTTTCAGCTTCAGTAGAGTCAGCACTATTCACATAATCAGATGTTTCAGGTCTGTTAGAGTCAGCTCTGTTCACATAATCAGATGTTTCAGCTTCAGTAGAGTCAGCACTATTCACATAATCAGATGTTTCAGGTCTGTTAGAGTCAGCTCTGTTCACATAATCAGATGTTTCAGCTTCAGTAGAGTCAGCACTATTCACATAATCAGATGTTTCAGGTCTGTTAGAGTCAGCTCTGTTCACATAATCAGATGTTTCAGCTTCAGAAGAGTCAGCACTATTCACATAATCAGATGTTTCAGGTCTGTTAGAGTCAGCACTGTTCACATAATCAGATGTTTCAGCTTCAGTAGAGTCAGCACTGTTCACATAATCAGATGTTTCAGGTCTGTTAGAGTCAGCACTGTTCACATAATCAGATGTTTCAGGTCTGTTAGAGTCAGCTCTGTTCACATAATCAGATGTTTCAGCTTCAGTAGAGTCAGCACTATTCACATAATCAGATGTTTCAGCTTCAGTAGAGTCAGCACTATTCACATAATCAGATGTTTCAGCTTCAGTAGAGTCAGCACTATTCACATAATCAGATGTTTCAGGTCTGTTAGAGTCAGCACTGTTCACATAATCAGATGTTTCAGGTCTGTTAGAGTCAGCTCTGTTCACATAATCAGATGTTTCAGCTTCAGTAGAGTCAGCACTGTTCACATAATCAGATGTTTCAGCTTCAGTAGAGTCAGCACTGTTCACATAATCAGATGTTTCAGCTTCAGTAGAGTCAGCACTGTTCACATAATCAGATGTTTCAGCTTCAGTAGAGTCAGCACTGTTCACATAATCAGATGTTTCAGCTTCAGTAGAGTCAGCACTGTTCACATAATCAGATGTTTCAGCTTCAGTAGAGTCAGCACTGTTCACATAATCAGATGTTTCAGCTTCAGTAGAGTCAGCACTGTTCACATAATCAGATGTTTCAGCTTCAGTAGAGTCAGCACTGTTCACATAATCAGATGTTTCAGCTTCAGTAGAGTCAGCACTATTCACATAATCAGATGTTTCAGCTTCAGTAGAGTCAGCACTGTTCACATAATCAGATGTTTCAGCTTCAGTAGAGTCAGCACTGTTCACATAATCAGATGTTTCAGCTTCAGTAGAGTCAGCACTGTTCACATAATCAGATGTTTCAGCTTCAGTAGAGTCAGCACTGTTCACATAATCAGATGTTTCAGGTCTGTTAGAGTCAGCTCTGTTCACATAATCAGATGTTTCAGGTCTGTTAGAGTCAGCTCTGTTCACATAATCAGATGTTTCAGCTTCAGTAGAGTCAGCTCTATTCATATAATCAGATGTTTCAGCTTCAGTAGAGTCAGCTCTATTCACATAATCAGATGTTTCAGCTTTGGTAATAATAATAATAATAATGAGAATACATCAAACTTATTAAGCGCTTTTTTGGACACTTAAAGACGCTTTCCAAAACATATAAAAATACATCAAAAGATCAAATTAGAGATTCTGATGGTTGTGGGCGCGGGTTGCAGAGAGTGGGGGCAGCGAAGGCTCGGTCCCCCATGGTTCGGTGTTCAGTCCTAGTTGATAGAACCAGCACTGTTCACATAATCAAATGTTTCATCTCCAGCCTGCTCTTGTTTCAGAACGACGTGAAGATGCAGGAGATCATCCGCTACACCCACCAGTTTCTGCAGAGGTTCTGTCAGGGAAACCACGAGAACCAGACCCTGCTGCACAAGAACCTCAGCCTGTTCCTGAACCCCGGGGTACTGAGCTTTAACTTTCAACGTAGACTTAAACGTTTTATTTATTTGTTCTTCCACGGGCTAACAGCGTCCCTTGGTTTACACAGCTGCAGGAAGCGGAGACCGTGCGCCACATCTTCAGCAACAACTACCAGCTCTGCTCTGAGATCTCCGAGAGCGTCCTCCAGCACTTCATCCACTGCCTCGCCACTCACGGACGCCACGTGCAGTACCTCAACTTCCTGCACACCATCATCAAAGCCGAGGGGAAATACGTGAAGAAGTGCCAGGACATGATTATGACTGAGGTACCTGTGCTACGATAGGCTTTCAGACGTCCCTGTTTATCCCAGATCCCTGTGTCCCAACCATAGACTGTGAATATTAACAGATTTAGTTAGCTGCACTGCCTCATTCATTTAAAGAGTGCATTCAAAAGTCCACAGCGGCTAAACTAGACTGGTCCAAAAATATATATACTCCCCTCAACATCGACAGCATCTGGAACGTAGCTTTTGGACCAAGAGCCACTTTTGGACCAAGAGCCACTTTTGGACCAAGAGCCACATTTGGACCAAGAGCCACTTTTGGACCAAGAGCCACTTTTGGACCAAGAGCCACATTTAGACCAAGAGCCACATTTAGACCAAGAGCCACTTTTGGACCAAGAGCCACTTTTGGACCAAGAGCCACTTTTGGACAAAGAGCCACTTTTGGACCAAGAGCCACATTTAGACCAAGAGCCACATATAGACCAAGAGCCACTTTTGGACCAAGAGCCACTTTTGGACCAAGAGCCACATTTAGACCAAGAGCCACTTTTGGACCAAGAACCACTTTTGGACCAAGAGCCACATTTAGACCAAGAGCCACATTTAGACCAAGAGCCACTTTTAGACCAAGAGCCACTTTTGGACCAAGAACCACTTTTGGACCAAGAGCCACTTTTGGACCAAGAGCCACTTTTGGACCAAGAACCACTTTTGGACCATCCTGTAAAGACGTTTTCGAGATGTAAGAAGATGCTATACATTAGCATTGGCTAATTCTTATTCCAGGTACACCCCAAGCCCCAGCGATTCAAGATGGCGGCGTATTCATATGAATGGTTTGTGCTCAGTGGCGCTTTGTGCTGGCACAGTCGCTGACATATTAGCGGAACTCGCAAAGATCTATGGGAAACTCGCCTGTATTTGGGCCTCGTCTGGTCCTCCCGGTTCTGTCCAGTGGATGAACTCCCATGATGCTTTGTGCCAAATACGCGTGTGTGGGTCTCACGCACGTGCACAGAGGGGCTCGGCCGCGCTCTGACCAATCAGAGCAGTTCATCAGAGCGGGAGTTAGAGCCAGAGCCAGACGAGCAGAGTTTGTGGCACTAAAGTGTGGATTTAAACAAAACCGAAGGATTTAAGAAGAAAAACAGTTCAGGATGACAAGGGACACTAAAATCCCCAAAAAATCTGATCTTTATGAAAGCTGTAGGTTCTCTGTCAGGTTCTCTGTCAGCTGAGGTCGAGCTGTTTTAATTTACATTGAGTTCTATGGGGAACATTTCTGGGTAGCCCACGTGAATTCAGTCTGGTTCAGTCTGCAGTACCGCGAGAATCCCCCGAGCACATGAGTTATTCAGCTACAAGCTAGTAATACCCTATCCAGTTATTATAATAGATCCATGGTACACCCCCACAGGCCCGTGGTGGTATTGCAGCATGTACAGATACCACATTGTACCATTGTATTGACTAAATTCCTCCACAGCTGACTAACTCTGGAGAAGATGTGGTGGTTTTCTACAACGACAAGACGTCCTTCAACACGATGCTGCAGCTGATGATCGAGAGCCGAGAGGGCGTGATGGAGACCAGTCCACTCAGGTGAAGGACCAGAGGGACAGAGAGCTTCACTGTGAGACCAGGTGGAAAGAGGAAGGACCCTTAATACATGTATAAAGTGTTGGAAAACTAAAAGAATAATTTAGTAAAGATGACGAGATAAAAGTCCAGGGAAAAACTCAAAATCAAAGCAAAACTCAGGAACCAAGAAAAACAGATGGATAAAGACATTACAGTGGACCAGCGACAAGAAAGAGGAGCACAGGTACATGTAGAGAGACAGAGAGACACAGGTACATATAGACACAGAGAGACACAGGTACATATAGACACAGAGAGACACAGGTACATATAGACACAGAGAGACACAGGTACATATAGACACAGAGAGACACAGGTACATATAGACACAGAGAGACACAGGTACATATAGACACAGAGAGACACAGGTACATATAGACACAGAGACACAGGTACATGTAGACACAGAGACACAGGTACATATAGAAACAGAGACACAGGTACATATAGACACAGAGACACAGGTACATATAGACACAGAGACACAGGTACATATAGACACAGAGACACAGGTACATATAGACACAGAGACACAGGTACATATAGACACAGAGACACAGGGACGTATAGACACAGACACAGGTACATATAGACACAGAGACACAGGTACATATAGACACAGAGACACAGGTACATGTAGACACAGAGACACAGGTACATGTAGCGAGACACAGGTACATATAGTCACAGAGACACAGGTACATGTAGAGAGACACAGGTACATATAGTCACAGAGACACAGGTACATATAGACGCAGAGACACAGGTACATATAAACACAGAGACACAGGTACATATAGACACAGAGACACAGGTACATATAGACACAGAGACACAGGTACATATAGACACAGAGACACAGGTACATATAGACACAGAGAGACACAGGTACATATAGACACAGAGACACAGGTACATATAGACACAAAGACACAGGTACATATAGACACAGAGACACAGGTACATATAGACACAGACACAGGTACATATAGACACAGACACAGGTACATATAGACACAGAGACACAGGTACATGTAGACACAGAGACACAGGTACATGTAGCGAGACACAGGTACATATAGTCACAGAGACACAGGTACATGTAGAGAGACACAGGTACATATAGTCACAGAGACACAGGTACATATAGACGCAGAGACACAGGTACATATAAACACAGAGACACAGGTACATATAGACACAGAGACACAGGTACATATAGACACAGAGACACAGGTACATATAGACACAGAGACACAGGTACATATAGACACAGAGAGACACAGGTACATATAGACACAGAGACACAGGTACATATAGACACAGACACAGGTACATATAGACACAGACACAGGTACATATAGACACAGAGACACAGGTACATATAGACACAGACACAGGTACATATAGACACAGAGACACAGGTACATGTAGACACAGAGAGACACAGGTACATATAGACACAGAGAGACACAGGTACATATAGACACAGAGAGACACAGGTACATATAGACACAGAGAGACACAGGTACATATAGACACAGAGAGACACAGGTACATATAGACACAGAGACAAAGGTACATGTAGACACAGAGAGACACAGGTACATATAGACACAGAGAGACACAGGTACATACAGACACAGAGAGACACAGGTACATATAGACACAGAGAGACACAGGTACATATAGACACAGAGAGACACAGGTACATATAGTCACAGAGACACAGGTACATATAGACACAGAGACACAGGTACATATAGACACAGAGACACAGGTACATATAGACACAGAGACACAGGTACATATAGACACAGATACACAGGTACATATAGACACAGAGAGACACAGGTACATATAGACACAGAGACAAAGGTACATATAGACACAGAGGGACACAGGTACATATAGACACAGAGAGACACAGGTACATATAGACACAGAGAGACACAGGTACATATAGACACAGAGACAAAGGTACATATAGACACAGAGAGACACAGGTACATATAGACACAGAGAGACACAGGTACATATAGACACAGAGACACAGGTACATATAGACAGAGACACAGGTACATATAGTCACAGAGAGACACAGGTACATATAGACACAGAGACAAAGGTACATATAGACACAGAGAGACACTGGTACATATAGACACAGAGAGACAGGTACATATAGTCACAGAGAGACACAGGTACATATAGACACAGAGACAAAGGTACATATAGACACAGAGAGACACAGGTACATATAGTCACAGAGACACAGGTACATATAGACACACAGAGACACAGGTACATATAGACACAGAGACACAGGTACATATAGACACAGAGACACAGGTACATATAGACACAGAGACAAAGGTACATATAGACACAGAGAGACACAGGTACATATAGTCACAGAGAGACACAGGTACATATAGACACAGAGACACAGGTACATATAGACACAGAGACACAGGTACATATAGACACAG